TCAAAATGCAATTCTCAATATAACAAAACAACCTAATAACTTAATGTTAAAATAAAACGTGCGCATTGTGACAAATGTTATCCTGAATTGAGTTGAGGTGAGTCTAAGAATACACCAACCCTTATTTTTTTTTATCAAATGTAAGTCTTTAATTATTAACTGTGTTTTAAAACTGTGTTCACATATTTTTCCATGTAATTGATACAGGGGTCAGTTGGAGAATGGTGCTGTAAGGGAAGTGTGCCGGATCGCTGGTTAAATCTGTAGCCACCACATAAAAGCTCTCTCATTGGTCCAAAGAAAATCTGTGTAATGCCAGGGTCTACTCTTACAGGAGCCACAGGAACACACAGACTGTTTCACTCTCTGTGGGAAAGAGGTCGAGAAAGTGTATTCTAAGATCACTGGACTTTACATCGGCTGTATTGTGTGAAGGTTTTACTTTCAAACAGGTAGAGAGAAGTTACAGTGTGTGAACAGAAGCCAACAGACAAAGTGAGGTTTGTAACTGTTCAAAAACGTAAGGAAAATGCTATAAAGTATATGCCAACACTTGGAAAGCCTTTCATTGGCAGGCTGTGAAAGTGGTGGTTAAGCCTGACATATCTTACATGATACAGCAGTCAGGATGAGAAAGACATGATTGAGTTTTTTGTGAACAAGCAGTTACAACAATCCTCCTTATATGTGTGTGTTGGAGTTTGTGTGACACTGAATTTTCTTCTGACTGTTTTATATTCTGTTGTTTTTGTCCGTTTGGAGTTGGCCCATGAATTGGCAGCTTCCCATTGGGACATGCAGCCACCATTATTCAATGTAATGTTCCGAGAAATACAAATTGAATTCAATGCACTTTGTATTGAGTGTAGTGGTCAGAAAAATCTCCCTTCAGTAAAAATAGCTTTGAAATTAATCTCTGGTTAAATTATTCTTTGCATATTTTTACACTATTCATCAATTTTGCAAATATGCCATTCAAATATATTAAGAAAAAGTCCATTTATTTTTACAATAGCATACACAAGAAATGTAACTGTCATAAAAACTATTTCAATAATTAAAATTCCCACTGAACGTGATTACAAAGTATGTTTTATGCACTGGAATATCCCAGGGCATGTGTATACAGTGATAATAAGTAACCACCACAGAGACTGGACCAGCTATCGCACACTAGTCTGCATAGTCTGCATAGCCAGTCTGACTGGATAGATCTGCTCCAAGATATCCACATCGCCACTGACAGAGCTCTGTAAGAGGATTATCACTCCACACTTCATCTGTGTCTATAGCAAAAAGCCAAAAGTTGACTCCAGCTGAATTTGAACAGGTGTCCAATAGGAAGTGACTCTGCTTTTAAGTGAGGGGGGGGGGGGGGGGGGGGGGGCATGACAGCTTGACTAAGACATGTTAAGTTGGACTAATCTGAAGCAACCACCTAATATTGTTGTCAACCAGATTACTGTAGAATCACTGCACGCAAGAGGTAGACAGAAGCAAATTAAGAGAAAATCCTAATAGCAAACACACTTCTATGGATTTTTTTCTAATAACATGTATGTAATATTGCAAAGTCACATTTTTTTGTATTTGTTATGGTTTTTATAACACAAATATTGTAAATCTCTGACAGTACGTTACTCTTCCTGTACTTATAATATGATTAATAATTATAGAGGCACTCACCTGAAGTGAGCCTTAAGTGCTTTTGTCTGCCAGCCATTTTCTTATATTCTTTAAAAAAACATATATCCTAATCTCCTTCTTTATTATAAGCTGCAATGGAGCTTGGACTGTCTGCCGCAGGACCGAAACCAGCGCCAGGATTTAAGGTTTCAAAGCCACCACAAATTAAATTAAAACACAGTGGTACTCTAAATCTCATGGCTCTAAATGGAGCGGGGTTGAGAAAGGTGAACTCTCTGGCCCTGGAGGTCAGACAGAGGTACCCATATAAAAAATATATGACTTTCCCAATATGGAAGAAGCCTGTCGCCATATTTATTTTAATAGCTCTATATTTGCCAGTTCAGTGGAGTCTTTGTGATTACATGGCTAAACAAGGGTCAGAAAGGGCAGTCTTTGTAAAATGATAACTGAATTAATATACATTAATTATTATTTTTGACTTGATATTTGAATATTTGAGTTTGATGGGAGAGGCATGAGAGAAAATCTAAAACTATTCTAAGTGCAAGTGAATCAAAAAGACCTGCAGCCAGAACACCCTAGTTTCTCTATAATAGTCATTCAACTAAGGTGGGCTTGTGAGGGGAGAGCAGAGGGTCAGACCCCGAGCAGCTGACCCTAAAGCCGAGCGCCATCGTCTGTCACACCCCTTTCGGAACTGGGGGGTGTGACAGTGTTTGTCTTAATCAGGCTGAAACAATCAAACTTCCCCGATCTCCTCTTGAAGATAAGTTAATGACGTAATGGATGATTATAATAATGATTATTCATTCATTACAACTATTATGAAAAGATAGGTGCCAACACACAGCAGGAGAGTGGATTACCACATTGCTTAAAGCTGGGGTACCTTTTTCTTCATAAATAATCCACGCTGTTTGTCCTAAACAGAAAGACTTTGGGAACATGTAGTAAACACAACAAACCAAAGAATACTGTCTACATTTTCGTAGAAAATATGTTATCTTTTTATGTTTGCATGAATAATACAGCCAATGGATCACTATTTGATACTTTGGGCTGAGACCTTATTGGCTAAGAGACGATGGTCCTCTATTTTTCACTTCTGTTTTGAAAAACTGATCCAAATACAGTATGTGACAGGCCAGACATGCATGTGGAAGCTAGTGATAGAACCAAGCTTATTTGAGAGCGAGAAACTATTAGAAGGCTTTAAATACATAATTCCATTTTGTGGTTTTGAAAGTTAAGCAACCCAGGTTGTAACATTCTCCTTTTCATTTAAATAATGGCAAATAAACTGAATCTGATCTGAAAAGCCACTTCTTTCTTGCCTAAAACAGAAGGTGTCCAGGAAATCTCACCATCCTTTTCTCCACCAATAGCCCCCACATCTTGGTGGGTCACCCTATGTCTCTCTGTGACAATGCTTTAGTGATTCGCGCACTACAGTAATAGCTGGTGGTACAAAGGCCTTTTGACGTTCCCTGCTCCTCTCCTCTGTGCTGCTTACTACTGCACCATCTCTCACACCTCCCATTCATTGAAAGGGTGTGTGTGTGTGTGTGCATTTGTGCGTGATTGTGTGTAGGGGGGTTCTTCTTATTTGTGCTTTCTGCCTGTGCATTGAGGCTTGTATTGAGATCTGTTGGATATGTTTGTGTAAGCCCTCAGTCGTACAGGGATTAGTCAAAGCAAAGGAAGGTTTCTCACCCATCATCTGTACTTCTTAGCAAGTTTTCCCGACGTTTCGTCCTCAACCTGGGGACTTTCCCTGAAGAAGTCCCCAGGTTGAGGACGAAACGTCGGGAAAACTTGCTAAGAAGTACAGATGATGGGTGAGAAACCTTCCTTTGATCTGTTGGATATGCTCACAAGAAATTATTATAATAAATGAGTTGGAGAGAATTGTATCTAATTAAACTGTAACCAGCCCACTTTGTCCTTATCTTGGAGTATTTATAGTGGAGCTACAGCAAATTGCCTGTTTTGTAGTGCTATCACCAGACACGCTTTAGTGCCTAATTACTGCTGCAGTGTCACTCACACAGCGGGACACAGAAAAAAAAGCATTAAAAGCACAAAGTAACTAAAAGCGCTGGCAACGCACACTTATACATTATGAACTACATTCAGAAGATGCCAGGAATGTCCCCAAGTGTGAGACCCAAGCTGCAGCATCCCCTCTCCAACATGGCATCCTTTTTTCATTCATTTTCATTTAGCTAAATTCTGACAAAATGAAAGTCACTGCAGACAGGGACCTCTTCACGCCATATGAGAGAACAGGTGCACAGCTGTATAGTAAATTGATTTATAAATGGATGATTTGCTATTGGAATAAGTGGTTTAATATGGGAATGATGTCTGCAGATGCTATCTATGGCCCAGGGTTTGGAGATAGAACACACACACACATTGTATTTCATTTTCTACCTTTGATTTAACATACGCACTGACTCATGGGCACCAGCTTCTTGATACATTTTTTAAAAGATAATGTTTTGATCTATTTCTCATAAGTTACCATACAAAATATCTACCTACTTTTCCAGCACTTAGAGCAGGGCAAAGGAAAAACATTGATTTGTTACATGCATGCTACAGTGTGTGAGCTGAAACTGCACTTTGCCCAGAGACACATCTCCCACAGCGAACAGACTTCCCTCCATTCTCAGTGCTGCAGCAGTGCTTTAACCCGTTCGCTGCCACTTTACAATTGAGAGACACACAAGAAATGTGTTGCACCTATGTGAATGACGAACTTACATGCTAAAAGACCAGCATCATTATCATCAGTAAGGGCATTGAAGTGCAGCCATGTTAAAGGTCCCAGCACCAAAATGTCCCAGCAGTGGTTATAACTCTAATCACTGTATGGTGTAGCCTGCACAGTGATCCTTTATAACAGAGAGTATAGATCACTCGTGGAGTAAGGAGTAGGGCTTGGGACAGATTAAACGCACATGGCCTCGTCCCAGCATCGCACATCAACCAAGCATGTATCTCATCCAGACTGTGCACACTTTGGATAGGCAAACATAAATAAACAGGAGGCAGACTATTTGATTGCAAAGAAGATATGCAATAATTGACCACCCATTATCAGCGGAAATTGATTGATTTTCATTGATTTGAAAAACCTCCTGATTCAATCACACAAGCACAGTGAACATCTTGAGGAGACTGTCCACTGCGCTCTGGCAAAGCTATTGTTCCGCCCGGCAGAGCTCTGCTGGTGGTATAGACTGATCTGACAATCACTGAATAAAACTATGCTTTGTAAAACAACAATGTACACTATAATCTGACCAGGGCAGAGGGCTGAGATGGAGCCAGAGCGCACTTACCGGCTACAGTGTATCTGTCCATATAATTGAGGATGTTCCCAAAGGTAAGGATCCCGGCGGCCGCAGCTGGTGAGCGGCAGCGGAGGAGCGCAGCGCGGAATTTGTGTCCCGGTTTGCACGGGTGCAGGTCCGGGCTGGGTGTGAGAGCCGGACTCATGCTGCCAGACAGCGTGCGCACCTCGTCCGAACTGCTGCAGCCTTCAATCTCGCATCCATCGCTCTCCACACACATATTCTTACACGAGAAATCCAGCGTAAAAAAGAGAAGAGAAAAAACACCCGTAAAGAAAGAAGAAGACTTATCGAAGCGAGAGACAGATCAGTTTTGGCGGCTCGCTCTGAGTGGATGTGTCAGATGTTGAAGCTCTCTTTGGGAGATCATATTCTCTACAGCGGAGTGCAGTGACAGACGTGCAGTGCGCTTCGGAGCGCTATGACTGAGGGGGCGCGGCCTGTAGGTACAAGCCCCGCCCACTCCGCGCTGCAGCGAATGATGAGGCGCACCTGACCCTCACTCAGATGCGGGAAATGCAAGCTACACTACACTGGAATGATTACAGTACGGACTATTCGAGGCTGTCACTGTGGGTGAGGCGTGACCCAAAACCCTTTTTGTTATTATGCTTTTCCATTGGCTCAGTCATATGTTAGTGTTCCTCAGCTTTAGACATTCATTGGGGTTGAAACTAGCTTTGATTGGGTACTTAGTGGCCCATTAATCAGCATTAGAAATATTTAACATATACTAATGTTTACCTATTTAACACAAATGAACATATAAATCACCTATGAACTTGCATGCTTCCTCAAAGGTATTCTTTCCACAATTAGATGAACACAATAAAACAATCTCTTTAATTAATTGTATGTAAAATTGTTTATTTAATTCTAAAATATTTATATAAATCTAAAATATTTATATAAATCTAAAATGTTTATATAATTCTAAAATGTTTATATAATTCTAAAATGTTATATCTTAAATAGATCTTTTTAATCTTTATATCTTTGTTAAATTATAAAAAAGAAACTGTGTCAAAAAATACAGTATATTCCAATGAGGAAATGTTCTGGGCAAGAATGTGGCGATCACTACCGCTCCTTAAAGGAGGAGAAGTTGAACAATAACCATAAATGGTCTTCTAGTTAAATACTTGTGTGTGGTTTTCCATATCCTTTCATACATTTGTTGTAAATCAATTACACTCCACCGTCCACATAAACTGAACAGAGAGAAGGATGTTTAGATATATTTGAGTGTGGAATTCCTAGTGGTTAAATACAAACCAAAAAGGAAAAACATACTTGGGATCAGAAGAAGATTAAAGCTAGGATAAGATCTATTCTATCAGCAGTTTCTCATCAGCCGTTCAAGGCAGCAGCGCCCTGTCACACTGTGCATAATGCTGTTTGTCATCTGCACCACAAGGAATGTTCCGCCACAAACATACACGGTTTCTAAAGAAACATCTTTCCTACTTCAGGATCTACTTGGTCAAAAATAATGATGGCCCTTCAAGTCTGGTTATATGATGTGCACTTTTATGTCTGTGATCAAGAGGACTGCATTCTAGACTGAAAAGGATAGATCTGAGATTCAGATGCAGCATAAGCCTAAATGGTTGGGTAATTGTCATGCATAAAGAGGATGAGGTGGGATAAACCCTGGCACATGATGTGGAGAAGGTTGGGTGCTTGCCTGGCTCTGCCCGGCACTTGGCTTTGAATGTGCATCATTGTAGAAGCACTGAACATGCACTTTTGTTTTAGGCAGAACAGTGGACAATGATTAACATGTGAACTTATTCTATTACAATCTTTTGTTAGCCTTTTCTTTCTTCATTAAGTCTTTATACACTCATTAAGTCTTAAAACACTATTTATACCTCAGTCATATTCAGTCTTTAACACAGAGTTTTGCAGACCTGATCCTTTAGGTGAAATACAGTTGAACTTTACTATCATCATAACAATATATTAACTAACAACTGACAATGGATGTAAAATAGCCTTATGGATTATCATAGTGCATGTATAGTAATGAATGTACACATATGAAAAATAAAAATAAAATAAAAAGCAGGAAGACAAGTTGCTTTATGCGTTTCTATACTAAGTGTATTAAAAATAAAAACGACAAAATCATTAAAAAATTCATATATAAATTGTAAAAGAAAAAGACTGCAATACATACAACGGTGCATGCTTACATGTTCATACAGAGAGGAATTGTGCACTGTAATGAAGACGACTAATTAAAGATAGATAGTTTCCTCCACAAACAAAGCAGGATGAAGCCTGGCTCTGTCTGCCCAGTTTGAGCCCCTTTCTACCCTCCCTTTTCTTTGGGATGTGTTTTATATGCCAGTCATGTCTCCTGGATCATGAGTATTTCTCTAATGGACAAACCATGGAGGCCTGGTGTTGCTAGTTGCTAGTCCTGGGATCAATGTGCTGCGTGGCCCTGCCTTCCTTCCTGTCTGTGTTTCAGGGTTAAGAGTATAAAGCATGATGGAGATAACTCTAATCTATCTGCCACATACCCCTCAGCTGCTCGATAAGGCCGCATGCACACACACGATGGTGCCTTCTAAAGTTTAAATGTCCAAGTGACACATGTGGCACTATCAACACGGAGCATATCAGCTGTTTTTGAACAACGCCTTCTCGCCCCTTTAATTATGACGTCGCTGTTAAAAAAGGGCATGTATTTGAATTGCAATACAGAACATGCTATACCTTTTTAAAACTAGAAAAAATGTGGTTTGGTGATGGATTCAGCCTACTCTGGTTGTATATTATCAGATATGTGTGAATTAAAGAATGAAGTACGTCACTGACATGGACTGAGCATGGCGGGAATCAGCATTTTATGTGAAGAAAATATTAGTATCTTCCTGAAAATGTTCAAAACCAGCTTGAAATCAGTTTATGTGGTTCTGATAATAGAATTGTGTGTGTTAAATGTATTTGTTGTATTGAACTGTATGTACTGTATTATGTACTGAAAAATATATCAGCTGAGTTGGTATCTCAGAGTTTTTCCTATGTCAAGGATGTACAATGTATTATTATGAGTCAATAAGTATTCAAAACACACTTTCCACAATTGTATCAGTTGTTTTAGATTCATTCAACATTACCAGTTTCCCAGTACAACTTAATCTTAAGCGTGGCTGCGTTGGTAGATAAACTGGTATGACTGACATTTCGCGGTTATCATGGAAGAGATTCTCACATTGTTGCTTGATCCTCTGTAGTGGCGTCATCTAATGTCCACACGTTTCCTCTTCCTAGTTCCTGTAGCAAAGAACAGAAGAAGTCTCCTATTTTTCCTTGGAACTGCCCTCTCCACACCCTATGTAAAGTCTGCCAGGACAGAATAAACACATCTTTGTTTTGTTGATCTGCAAAAGAACACAGCATGCATTCATCACTGTCTTTCTTCCAACACAGACAATTTAAGAGAAACGCAAACATGTCATACAGGGCTCCTGGGATTGTTCTGTGGGAAGATTTCACTGAGGTGGAACAAGTTGTCCCATAGTGTACATAAAGCTAATGTGACGTTGAAAAGTAAATAAACAGAATAAAAGCCTTTGTCAACTTGCCTTACCATACTTCTTGTCACCAATTACAACTCTATTATGACACCTCTGTTTGGTTACCTTTGACAATAAAGGTAACATCAATTATAAATACATTTGTTTATCATTGTAAACATTTTACACACTGAGAGCTCATTGACTGAGTAAGGGCTGGTACTGGACGTTTTGAGAGCAAGGAGTAGTCAGTGTATTGTCCTTAATAAATTTGATTTGATTTCGAAGTTAGGTGCTCCAGCTTTACTGTATGTACTAATTGTGCACGTGTTCCACCGTTGACCATTTTGCTGCTTGGCCTGTCTGTTATATGCTATATTTCAAAACTGCTTCCTCGTTGGAATGTTTTAAGTCCTGTCTTAAGACGCATTTTTAATGGCTTTTAACACCGCGTGAGTTGTGTGGTCCTATTTTTATTTTTATTTGTTTTATTGTTTTTATTTATTTATTTATTCTTTTTAAATCGGATAACTAGTATTTTATTGTTTTTATCACATGTTTATAGTTTACTGGTATTTTATTGTTTTTATTAAATTTGTATTGTTTTATATATATAACACATATTTAAATGTGTTGATTTTATCTCTGTGCAGCACTTTGGAAACTTGTTTTATAAAATGTGCTATATAAATAAAGTGGATTGGATTGGATTATATTTGTATGTTATATGTGAGTAATTGGTAGGTATAAATAAATGATACGTAGTAACCTTTCAGAATGTTTGCACTTTTGTGGGAAATCTTCTGCTAATTCTGAACAACCAAATGATCTATTATTGGATTGGCTCCATCAGAAAATGTGATATGGTTTGCAGGTAGAACCCCAAACATCAGAGGCAGGAGACTGAAGAAGTTTAACAAGTTTATTTACAACACTAGCAGTGGAGGCAGAGGAGGCAGAGGAGGCAGAGGAGGAAGAGGAGGCAGAGGAGGCAGAGGAGGCAGAGGAGGCAGAGGAGGCAGTGGAGGCAGAGGAGGCAGAGGAGGAAGAGGAGGCAGAGGAGGCAGAGGAGGCAGAGGAGGCAGAGGAAGAAGAGGAAGCAGTAGAGGCAGAGGAGGAAGAGGAGGCAGAGGAGACAGAGGAGGCAGAGGAGGAAGAGGAGGCAGAGGAGGCAGAGGAGACAGAGGAGGCAGAGGAGGAAGAGGAGGCAGAGGAGGAAGAGGAGGCAGAGGAGGCAGAGGAGGCAGAAGAGACAGAGGAGGCAGAGGAGGCAGAGGAGGCAGAGGAAGAAGAGGAGGAAGAAGAGGCAGTGGAGGCAGAGGAGGCAGAGGAGACAGAGGAGACAGAGGAGGCAGTGGAGGCAGAGGAAGAAGAGGAAGCAGTAGAGGCAGAGGAGGAAGAGGAGGCAGAGGAGGAAGAGGAGGCAGAGGAGGAAGAGGAGGCAGAGGCGGCGGAGGAGACAGAGGAGGCAGAGGAGACAGAGAGCTGAATGGGGTAGTAGGGATGAGATCAGCAGGTAAGTATAAAGAAACACAAAACACAGAGAAAATCTAAATGACACAAGCGCTGGATGCACTACACAGCCTGATTGTGTGAACATGTGGTGAACAGAGGGTCTTGATATATGAGGCAGAGAGAGGGATGAGGGGCAGGTCTGTCGTGTCTGCAGCATCGGTGCAGCCACGTCCCCTGCACACTCTGCAAAACAGGAGGGGCTGGGGAGCACACACACTAGATCCTAACAAAATGCAATTTGTTCATTGGACTCATTTTTTTCTTTCAGAAACACATACCATTTATTCTATTATTATTTGATGTACCTCTTTTTCACTAAGTCCGTATTTTGGTTTTGATTTTTATTACAATCTAAGCATCTACCACACGTGAGACATGGTCAGTGTCTGGTAGCCACAGACCACCCTACTTCCCACTATTCCACTGTTTTCTTAGTCGGAGCCATACAGCCATGGTTTGAGGTGTGGGCAGTCCCATTCTGAGCGTGCTACCACCCCCAGCCCAGTGCTATGTGCTAATGCGGCTCTGGCACAGTCTGGAGCAGAGCAGCTGAGGACCTGAATAGATCTGATGTCTGCAGTCTGGTGAGATTGACTGGACTAAATATAGTGCATGGATACACGGACGCCGTCGTCATCTCCGCTTTCAATTATTTATTAGGCCCTTTCATCTTGCCCATATATATATAAAATACGTTTTGAAAAGTCTTGATTTAGCAGGTAGCTAATGAATAGTTTCAACTTTAATGTCTACATATTGACAAAATCACAATGACAGTTCCAGAATGGTTGACCTTCCAGTTGAAATTCTCATTCTATTGAGGAACAGACAGTGCCTCGCAAAAGTATTCATATCCCTTGAACTTTTCCAGGTAAAAGTTCTCCAGGCAAAAGTATTTATCCCCCTTTTCTCAAAGTGCAACCAGTTGACTTTAGAAGTTTCCCAATGCCTGATTAATGATCACATTTCTACTTTAACTATGAAGTTGAGTCCTCCAGAAAGTAATACTGTATAATGTCAATTATAATTACAGCTATTCTGAAAGGGCCACAAAGATTTAGATTATTGTTCACAAAACAGCATCATAACGTCCTGGGAACCCACCAGAGACGTCAGGAAGAAATTTCAGGAGGAGTTTAAAGCACAGTTTAAAAGATTGCCTAATATTTGAACATTTCATACAGAACTGTTTAATCCATCAGCTGGGAATGGATACTACAGCAAACCATCAAAGACAGGTCAGTTAAGTTGAGACATTTTAAGGGATGCAATCAAGAGGCCCTTGGAAGACCCTTCTCAGCTTTTGGAATCTGTACATGGGACATCACTCATGAACAAATATACAAATCTGTCCATTACAGACCATGTCCTTTGGAACGATAACGAGTGATAAATATACTCCTTAATTCACAAAACTGGTAGAATTATACTCTGGGAAACTGGGATTGTAGAGTAAATTCATTGATTCACTCATTGGATTTAGGACGAGGGTTATGGTTCCATGGTTCCATAACTATGGTTATGGTTCCATGGTTCCATAACTATGGTTATGGTTCCATGGTTCCATACCAATGGTTATGGAACCCAGGGCCTTTCTGAGTGGAGTTTGCATGTTCTCCCCATGTCTGCGTAGGTTTCCTCCGGGTACTCCGGTTTCCCCTACCACTAAAAACATGCACAATAGATCTGGCATTAGCCTCCTGTACTGGTGACCCCGCTCCCATCTCTGTGTGGAGTGAGAGGACAAATGCACAAAAATAATAACAATTGTAAACCGCTTTGTGACTCTGGTCTGTGAAAGGTATATAAATAAAGGTTACTTACTTATGATTATGAGTCAGGATAAGCTTTGACATTGATTCACTCTTTATTAGTTGATGATCTCACATGGTGCATCTGATATCTATAATGACAATTTTTTTGTTGAAAGATCCAAATAAGTCACTTTAACTTATTCCCCCCTGTAAATCTTATGATTACAGCTTCAATACGACTGAAAAACTCACAAATTTCAGTCTCAGTTTGGCTAAAGGGAAAAAACATTTGTGACTGATTGTGAATCATATTTATAGTTTGAGGCTGCCGCTGTAATTAGCTCGTTGCAGTGAAGTCCAGAGTGAATGTGCAGCTAGTGGACAGTCGGCCTCTCAATCTGGAATGTTAAATACATAGGAGTAGAATGGAGTTAAACCAGGAAGCAGCCGACCTCAACTTACATTTTTGCCTCTTTTTTTGCTAAACAAGCCTTCGAGCTCCATCACATTAGACAGGGGGAGTTTGTGAACAGTAGTTCCTTGATTAGATTTAGGTCTGGACTTTGACTGGGCCTTTGAACACATTACAATAGTTTGTAAACCCATTCCATTGTTTGTGTTTCGGGACATTGTCCTGACCTGAGTCTCTCAAGTCTGCAAACTGAAACAGCTTTTCTTTCAAGATTACCCTGTATTTTGCCTCCCTTCAACTCTGACACTCCTCTGACACCCTTCCCTGCCCCTCCTGCAGCTTCTCTATAGTGACCATTAGCCTCTTGGTTGCATCCCTGAGGTCCACATTTGACTATTCATCAATAATCATATCACTTCTAAAGGTTTGGCTTTTTCTGATAGCAAACCAACCAATTTTCTCCACAGTGACCGTGTGCTACTTATTATGTGGCATATATTTTTGTTTTGGCATTTCCATTATTATTCTGTAATATTCATTATTGTAATTAATCATTTACATTTATAGATACATTTATATTTACATTTACCGCTGCATCAACATGTTTTATCCCAGCTGTCGATGCTCTGCTTGATCAGGACTACCTTCGCTGGAGGATGTCTCACTCTTATCAAGACTTCCTTTGTCTATTATTTTCCAAAAAAACTATGTTTGAAGTGTTGAATTAATATGACAATTGATTAGCTCTATTCAGGGTTGTGTGATGTAAACGTCCTCAGCAGAGACTGAGGGCGGTGAGGGCTTCCTCTGATGATGTCATGTCTCTGCCGCAGCTTGATAAGGGAACAGTGCATCTTCACTTCCCACAGTGAGCTCCTGCTGCTCTCCTTCATCACGTGCTGATTGTTCTGATTGAGACAAAAACATATAATCACGTGTTTGGACTAACAACGTTTTTTTGGCAGCCAAACAGGTTGAAACAAATATTTAATCAAGTGATGTTTGTCAAAATCAATAATATTTTTTTAACCCTTTTTGATTGTTTGTAGTATAAAACAGAATTCCTACCAGGACAAAGAGACAATTATTTGGGGGCAGAACTCCTTTGCAAAATTGTAAATAAATACTATGCAATAAGTTGGAGTTTAACAGAGGCGTCATGGGCCTGAGCCGCCGGCCTGGCTCCACTCCCTCATTGATCACCACATTAGCCATTGTGACGGTTTCCTGCAGGTCCAGGGTCGACCTGGGAAACTCTGTGCCTGAACCATGTTACACAATACAATACAATTGACTTGTTCAGTAAGATGTGCTGCTTAGAATCAAAAAGGAAATTCCAACGTTGAAAAGAGAAACACTTAAGTTTTAACAAACACCAATTAACTTTTTATTTCCGATCCGATTATATCGTGCCCATAGACTGTAATTGTGCCCGAACGAACATGAAAATCAAGCTTGGTCTAGCTTGGGCAGCAGGGTGGCTGAGTGGTTAGCACACTCGCTTCTCAGCAAGAAGGTCCTGGGTTCGAATCCCGGTCGGAGCAGGGCCTTTCTGAGTGGAGTTTGCATGTTCTCTCCGTGTCTGCGTAGGTTTACTCCGGGTGCTCCAGTTTCCCCTTTCACTAAAAACATGCACAATAGGTATGAATGTAAATAAGAGAGTGAATGGATGGTGTTGATCGGGGCTGATGCACCAGTGTGTTCGGAGACTCGCTTCCGTCATCACCGTGTGTGGAATGATTAGAACAATATCTGAACTCTGAACATTGTAAAGCACTTTGGGTGACCTTGGTCTGTAAAATGTGCTATATAAATAAACATTACTACTTACTTTAATATCTCAAGACAAGTATAGATTTATATATATCTTGTATACTATTTATAAATGTAATCTTGGAAATTTTACATTTCAAGGATCAACAAACTTACGTTTTGATGTATAAAATAAGATTAAGGTTCCCTAAATATGAAGGGCTGCCAACAACCTACTAGTACCAGTGACCACCTTTAAGTGTTTCTCCAAAACTTATTAAACAGATCTCTCTGTTGATGGTTCACTCAGACTTTTAAAGCGCAGTGGCGCCATCTAGCGGGTCAATACAAACACAGACTCCCCTTCATATTTCCCCTTTTTCCAACCAAAACATTCCACGCAAACAGCACAAAAAAACTGTTCAAGTGTAAATATTTCTGCACAGTATACAACCATGATACAGTTTGGCAATAATTATGGTAAAACCACGAGGTTGCATTTTTGTTTTCCAGAGGAACGTGTAGGGTATAAAAACATTAATATTATGCTAATATATATCATGGATCAATTATGGAACGAAAGTAAGAGCTCCACAGACATAGACTGCAATAAACATATTTTGCATGCAATAAATTGACTTCAAGAAGGCCACACATCATGAAATGAGGAAATTGCACACCCACACACAGACACACACTATAAGTATGTAGACATTATGGCCTGGTCGGATGACATTGAGGGAAGTTGAATAGGGCTGTCTCACAGTCAAATGTGTGAGCTGATGCAAAAAGTGTGAAGAATGCTGCAATTTTTTGTGACAGTGGCAAACAAATGTATTGTGAATTTTTGAGAATTTGACTCTCCCACAGTCAAAAATGTTGATACAAAAAAATTCAAAATAAAACAATGACAGGGGAATTGTTGATTTGGCTCAGGATTTCTCCATCACATAACACAAAACAATGTTGTCAACGAGTAAAGGAAACATGAACATAACACCATACTCATAGGAGGAGTTTTCTTTTTTACCTGGAACCAGTTGTTGAGCAGCTTGCTTGTCTTTGGTGATGTAAACAGCAGTAATCAGGAAGAACACTCCCCCCAGAACACCAGCAAAGGGACAGAGGAGGAAACTGTACTTCAGGCTCAAGAAGCTCCACTCAGAAGACACAGGATTGGACTTTCCGATAGAATCAGAAATCTAGTAGATCAATGATAATATACATAATAAAAAATATACTCATTCTTACGTATAACGTGTATTTAGCCTCTCAAAAGATATAGTTTTGAAAGGATTACAAACACAAAAATTCAGAAAATAAATCAACAAACAAAGTAAGTGAAAACAGTGGTTGTGTCCGGGCCATGGTCAGAGGGATCAGGAGTCAGGGGAACATGTGAGATTTAAGGGGCTGACTCACAACTCATGGGCCACACTTTGGGAAACCCTGTTCCAATGTAGGTATTTTAGACTAGGATATGCTACATAGTTTATTACAGTAAATTTTGATAATATGAAATAAGATGTTCCCTTGGGACAAGCAATTATGAGTTATTTGAAATGAGAAATAATGCAACTGTACGAGGAAACACATTTGATTTGATTATTTTTTTACTCCAATTGAGATAAAAAATTAAAAATAAGCATTTTAAAATTATTTGTCAAAAATGTTTTGTTTAATAGCTGGGATAATGTCTATGTATTATTGAAGGCAAAGATGTATTTTCTTACCACTCCAAGCAGGTAAGGGCTTCCAGCATCTCCCAGCAGGTGTCCGACTGTGATCTGCAGAGCCTCGGCTGAAGCTCTTCTGGTCGGGACCACAACATACTGACACAGGACACAGGTTATGTCAACACTGGAAGGATGAATACCTCGTACATTCACCTATACATATATATATATATATATACACATATACATACAGTATAAATATATATATATATATATATATTATATTATATATAGATATATATAATTATGTTTTTTAGCAATCAACATATGTTATGTTCCATTTATTCCTGACATTAACATAGTTGTTTGCACAATTTCCTCCAGGTGAGACTGGAGAGGAACTATTCAAGCTTATTCTATTGTTTTTTTTTGTTTTTTTTTTTTACAGGAATAGCACATACACATGAATACATACTGTTCGAATAAATAAATGTGTACAATAAATATTGATTAGGACAATGTGACATGACGGTTGATAGTTAGACCGGTTAAACCAAAAATCTCACCAGCAGGATGTCTGCCAATATAGGCCAACAGAGGGATAGCATTAACTCAGTGATGAAAATGCACACCTGAGTGAGAAGCAGACAAAGAAGATCAACAAATCTGTTTATTAAGACACATCTTCAGCATGTTGTGTCTTACATAAGTGGCTGGGATATTGGCTGATGCAGTGAAAATAGCTGCAAACAGAAATGGGACAGATCCTAACAATCCAACTGCACAGATGACTGGGTCTGCATATTCCACTTTATCCAGGAAACATCTGGACAGACCAGCGCCGATACATACCCCTAGAATACCAGTCACCACGGTAACTGCTCCAAATATGTAACTGCAAATATAAAGGGCAGTGAAAATACACACATCAAACCAGAGGAGCATGTATGAGAACCTCTGTACCTGTCCGAGCTGTTACAAGGCTCCTCAGTACATGGCTGCAGCTCTCCCTGGACGACCCGTGCTCTGAATAAGAGAGTGGGGGTCCAGAACGCCAAGGCACCAGCCAAGAATGCCAGGGCCGTCACCCCCAATGTTGACCAAACAAAACTTTTACTAAACAAACAAGTACATTTATTGCAACACTCATACTATACAAAGAAAAACACAGCCAGTTTTCCTACTTCTTCAGCAGATATTTGACATCCTCTTTGTAAGATGAGGGTTCAGTATTCGCTTGGCCCTGATTTTCCGCAGCACCTCGTGGGGGGTTGGGAACCAAGAAGATGAGCAACAGTAGGCCAATTAATCCAAGAACAGGAGTGACCTGCGAAAAAAATGCAAATGTATATTATGTCATATTTGGAATTTGGAATTAGCCATAGAATTACATTGCTCACCCTAAGAGCCCATCGCCAATCCCCTGTGACAGATGCTATTGATGCACCCGAGATGTATCCCATGCCGCTACAGTGACAAGACAAATTATTGGGGAGAGTTGTATCTAAAAGAGTTTGGCTCTAAGGGATGAGGCTCTTACCTCCCCACTGGGATGAATATATAAAAAGCTGATATCATCAAACTTCTTTTTGTCCCAGAAAACAGGTCTCCAATGATTGTGGGGGCAATAGTGGAGTAACTGGCCTCTCCAATTCCAACCAGGGCCCGCATTAGCACCAGAAACCAGAACAACTTGGGAGATAGTAAACACGTTACTTTTTGATATTTAAAAAAAAATTATCAATCAATCTTTATTTGTAGAGCACCTTTCCTACAGAGGGCAACACAGTCACATCACTTAAGGCACATCACATAAATCAAACACCAAAATCACCATTGAAAACACAGTTATAATCATATGGGTAATTAAAACCATTAAAACATTAAAATCAGGGATCAAGGGATTCAAATAATAAATAACCATAGCGCATTGAAAATAGAGAATGATTAATGGTTCAATCTGTATTGTATTTTGATTAAGTTAAAATATAGGATTTTTCTTTGTGGTAATTCTTATCAAACATCAGGGACAAATATAAATTAAACTTCTCACTTACATGCTCAGTGACAAAAGAGCTTGACAGTGCTGTGATTAGCCACACAATCAGACCACCCATCATGATGTACTTCCTGTTGCAGCGGTCTCCAAGGTAACCAAAGAGAGGCGCGACGAGAAGGAAACTGACGATAAAAACTATACGTGCATTAATGTCCCTATCACCAAATGCACAATGACATGATACACAACACTACATTTATTGATGTGAATTATTGATTTTGTGATCCATGTGAAGATCCTACCTGTCTGCAGAAGGCCAGCAGTGCTGTCACTGATATCAAAAAACTTCTGGATGTTAAGAAGCACACCTGTGGTGACAATAATAGAGATATACATGTATTACGTATTTGTATTGATCATACATTTGGAACCACATTTATGAAAGGGTTTTTTGTCTTATAGCAACTTTTTCTGACCTGCTAAAGTATATCGCTCCATGTAGTTGAGTAGGTTTATATAGCAGAGCACAGATACAGCCACATATCCACGTGCAGGGGAGACAAGAGGAGGCCCTGATCTTTCCGATGTATGGACACTGTTGACAAAGGAGCCATAGCGAAAACTAGCACTCAGGCTTCGTCGAGGTGACACCACTTCTTTGAAAGAAGACACAGAGATCCTTGGCTCCATGGCTCACCTGAGAACAGATATGACATGATTATACTGAGGATAAAAAATATAATGGGACCCCTGAATCTAGCCCTCTTATCTGCACCTACAGGGACAGGCAGAAGCTCCTGCTGCTGATGCCTTCTGCTTGAAGAGACGTTAACTTTGGTTGACTCCGGGTCACAGGATGTCTGACACATGACACAGAGGTATTTACTGACGCTACTCTGATGGATTCAGGTGGTGTGCTTGGCTGAGAGGCTGGTGGCCTCTGGACCACACCACCACATCAACCTCCTGGGGAGATGGAAGGCGGTGAAGAGATCGAGTCCTTCTGCACTTTGCTGCGCAGCTGCTGGGTCACCATTCGTGGCCTCAGTGGCCATACCAGATCAAGCATGGAGGGACCAGAGAACACTGCCTGTATGATATGGGCAGTGTTGGGCTTTGCTCCAGGGACTTTCAGAGTCTCCTGTAGGATTCAAAGTTTGTAGGTCCAGGAGTTTGCACACATTTATAGGACCAGAAGTCTGGTGATTGGAGTGGTCCATTGTTTGATCTTTGATCAACAAATTGTTGCTTTGAATTAATAGCCGAAAGGGAAATTGTACAGGGCTACGCACATATTCATAGACCTGTAGTGACTAAGGTAACTGTAATTTGTCGTGTTTCCAGATGTGACCTATAAGCTAGCCTTTTTCAATCAGCACACAGAGATCCTGGACACTGATCTTTCCCGGCTGATACTTTACGTCAGTCTCAACTCAATTTAGCTGTGTCAAGGTCTAGTCTGGGTAAGGCTGGGCCACATTGTGTGATCTATCACACAATGTGTGCAAAAAGCATGAACATTGGAGGGTAACGCTTTATATTAAGGTGTGCTTGTTAAGTATTAATGAGGTATTAATAGACAATAGCAACATGCTTATAGATTGCTTATATGTACTTATAAACATATTAATAAGCTGCTCATTTCACTATTCTCTAAATGATGTTGTTCTAGTTATATGCTTTTAAGCATTTAATAAGTAATTAGTAAGATACTTATTAAAGAAGGAATATGTTTATAAATTTGAATAAGCTGCTTATTAAACTATTATCAATACCATGTTAATAGGCCACTAACAATATGCCTATAAAGATATTAATAAGCTGCTTATTAATAGGTAATAGTGGTAATAGGCCACTAAAAATATGCATTAATAAACTGCTTATTACACTATTTTGCAGTACCCTAATCTAAAGCGAGGAGCATTTTTGTGATGATCTAAGATGTTTTTATTTATTCAAACAGCAACAATTACAGTCTAAATGAAAAAAAAAAATCAAAATGAAGTTTGTGCCAAAAGTTTGTTAGTAACTTCAAGGAGCCATGATGAACCCACTCATGCTCCGACCTGCTCTGTTAATGAATTTGGCTTTGGCAAAACAGTGAATCAACCCTAGATCCATGGAATCAACTGACTTCACGAGCCTGAGAGATTAGCGGAACTCGCCTCTTTTTGGGCATCGTCTGGTCCTCCCGGTTCTGCGCAGTGGACGAGCTCCCATGATGCTTTGCGCCAAATACGCGTGCGTGGCTGTCATGCACGTGCACAGAGGGGCCGTGCTCTGACCAATCAGAGCTGCTGATCAGAGCGAGAGTTAAGCGGGAGCCAGACGAGTAGAGTTTGTGGCAGTACTCACTGCCACAAACTCACCCTCAAATCCACTTTTTTTTGCTGATAAACGGTATAAATGAGTGTCCAATAGTGTTGTCTACATATCCTGGTCATAATTTTGTCACTTTGGTGCAAATTAGTTGAAAGTTAAACTTTCTGCCTAAAACCGTCTGTGAGGCGCCATCTGCTGGCGACCTGTATTACTACATTCGCCTGAGACCTGACGTCAGCAGCCCCCCGCCCAGAGCTATATAAACGGCCCAGTCTCGTTCACGCCCCCTTTAGTCCTCCAGGCTACGCCCATTTAGAGGAAGATTTGAACAGGAAATGTGAGTGACGTAAGCTCCGAGGAGCGGGGGTAAAAAACCCCTTTAAAGAAAACTGAAGGATTTAAGAAGAAAAAAAGTTCAGGATGACAAGGGACACTAAAATCCCCAGAAAATCCGAACTTTATGAAAGCTGTGGGTTCTCTATCAGGTTCTCTGTCAGCTGAGGTCGAACTGTTTTAATTTACATTGAGTTCTATGGGACTTTTTCTGGGTAGCCCTCGTGAATTTAGTCTGCAGTACCACAGCGCCCCCTGTGCCCATGGGTGGGACAGCTATAAGCTAGGAAAACACTATCCAGTTATAATTATAGTTCCATGGTTGTGCCACAGGTGCGTTGTATACATGGATCTATTATAATAACTGGATAGGGTATTACTAGCTTGTAGCTCGGGGGATTCTCGTGGTACTGCAAACTAAATTCACGTGGGCTACCCAGAAATTGTCCCATAGAACTCAATGTAAACTAAAACAGCTCGACCTCAGCTGACAGAGAACCTACAGCTTTCATAAAGGTCGGATTTTGTTGGGATTTTAGTGTCCCTTGTCATCCTGAACTTTTTTTCTTCTTAAATGCTTCAGTTTTCTTTAAATCCACATTTTACTGCCACAAACTCTACTCGTCTGGCTCTTACTCTCTCACTCTGATCAGCAGCTCTGATTGGTCAGAGCACGGCCCCTCTGTGCACGTGCATGACAGCCACACACGCGCATTTGGCGCAAAGCATCATGGGAGCTCGTCCACTGCGCAGAACCGGGAGGACCAGACGATGCCCAAAAATAGGCGAGTTCCGCTAATCTCTCAGGCTCGTGAAGTCAGTTGATTCACTGTTTTGCCATTTGCCAAAGCCAAATTCATTAACAGAGCAGGTCGGAGCATGAGTGGGTTCATCACTCATGCTCAAACACATCCGCCACCAAATGTCTACTCCAGCAGCCAAAATGTTTATGCACTCCATGATTCTGTCCCACATCACATACTGTCTCCCTACCTGGTCCCTAGCAAACACCACAGCCCTGAAACCCCTGCATTCACTCTACAAACGGACGGTAAAAACCCTGGACAAGAAACCCCATCACTCTCACCACTGTCCCATACTACACAAACACAAACTTCTCACTCTTGATAACATGGTCAAGTTCTCCAATCTCTGTCTGGTCTATAAAATCCTTCATGGTCTTTCATCCCCACCTCTCAGTCAGTTCATCAATACCAGAAACAGCACCCACACCAGGACCAGGGGGGCAGCGAGAGGGGACTGTATCACCCCCCTCAGGAAAAGCACATTTGGTCAATCTTCATTCTCTGTCCGTGCCACCTCAGATTGGAACCTCCTACCCACAACTATCAGAAATGCACCCTCTTACCTCACGTACAAAACACAGTTAAAACACTGGCTCATTGATAATCACACCTGTCAGCACTGACTCCGCCTGCTCTCGCTGCCCCCTGCTGGCCGCATGCTCTGTGTGCGCCTGTATGTGTTCTATGTCTGTCTCCATGTGATTGTGTATTGTTGTTTGTTGAACGACGTGTGACTGAAGGTTTTAATGTATTGTCCTTGTAAATATTGTAAATATCTCACATTATTTTAACTGTGTAGCAAACATGTTTTTATCTTTTCAGGAGACATGGGACTACGGATGAAAAATAGCCGTTTGGCTAATTCTGGCATATTTACAGAAATGTTCATTAATATGCACTGTCCCAGTAATAAATAAATAAATAAATAAAATAAATCATGGCTCCTTGAAGTTACTAACAAACTTTTGGCACAAACTTAATTTTGATATATTTTTTCATTTAGACTGTAATTGTTGCTGTTTGAATAAATAAAAACATCTTAGATCAATGTTGTGTTTTTTTCTGCATTAACAAAAATGCTCCTCGCTTTAGATTAGGGTACTGCAAAATAGTGTAATAAGCAGTTTATTAACGAATATTTTAGTGGCCTATTACTATTACCTATTAATAAGCAGCTTATTAATATCTTTATAGGCATATTGTTAGTGGCCTATTAACATGGTATCAATAATAGTTTAATAAGCAGCTTATTCATATATTTATAAACATATTCCTCCTTTAATAAGTATCTTACTAATTACTTATTAAATGCTTAAAAGCATATAACTAGAACAACATCATTTAGAGAATAGTGAAATGAGCAGCTTATTAATATGTTTATAAGTACATATAAGCAATCTATAAGCATGTTGCTATTGTCTATTAATATCTTATTAATACTTAATAAGCACACCTTAATATAAAGCGTTACCCATTGGAGTAAACAGACCTATGCAAATATGAAATGAAGTCACTAAAACTCCACACACCAATTCACATGGATTGATGAACACCCATATGTTTCAAACTTTGCAATCTTCTCATTCACAGCAGAAAAAAAAGTTAACATTCTACTACATATGATTTATTTATCATTTGTATGAAAGAAGATTATTTAAAAGGTAAAGTAAATTAAAAACAAAAAGAAATTTAAGTAAGAAAAGAATTGTCTTAAGGAGAACACAAGTTATTGTGGGCAGTAGAGAAGCTGAGCGGGATGCTCACTGCAACGGTTTGGTATGTACTTTATTTGCGCAGGGGCCGTGTAAAATTAAACATAACACAAAGGAGAAATGTATTACACCAGGTTATAGCAAAGATGCTAATTTCCACCTGTAGTCCCTTGAATAAATGAAGGAGAAATAGGCAGCTTTGAGTTAGCTGCCCCAGTATATTGGTTTGACGACACAGATCCAACTGAGTTTAAGGCATGATCCTAAATTCAGTTTTCACTATAAATGTTTATCTTATGTGTACAAATGCAGAGAAATAATTAATGTAATTACATATGTGGGTGTTTTTCCATGGTTTTAGTTATTATACAGACTACATTGAAATGAGCACAAAAAGGCATTCCTCTCTACCATTTCTGTTTCAAAACAACAGCCCTCCAAACGAAAAAGGTTAGTTAAATTGAATGAAATAATATCTACATTCAGAAACACCAAAGCAACAGTCAATGTTAGGACTATGTTATGGATCTGTAGAGCAGCATTTAGCCTTTGCATTTAGCCCACAGTAGCACCCTCACTTGTGTTGATTCAATCCAGCGTTATTCCATGTTTTCTCTAGTCAGATGATCTGCTGAGTGTTGAAGTCTCAGCTCCGCATGCCTGTAGAAATATTGAGTTAAGAAGAGATCTTCCTACAATGGGGTGGTTAAACATCCTGTGACACAACACTTGTAAACAGTACACACTCTGTTTTGACATTTCCTTCCTCATTCTTATATTCAGAACATTTTACAAAAAAACTATATTAAAACAGTAATACAATCACAACTCAAGCATGTGTTGCCCCAGTGGCACTGCAGAGGGCTGCATCTTCTCCTGCTCAGCCTGATTTACCATTGTTTGCAGCTGTTGGTATCTAGTGAGAGCTGAAATAACCATCTCACTATCTAAACTGGCAACATAAAAAGAGACCCGTGTGATGCTCATTCTTCTGAGAAACTCAACTTGAGAAATGTGGGGTCTGTGTACAAAGTGGATTCATTTTTGTATCATCAAGTTAAGAACGGAAGTACTCGTGGTCTGAGGTATTTTCTTATTTAATTCCCTCTGAGAAATGTGCTTTCATAAAGGAAGCAAACAAAATATGTAAATAAAACTATCGATTCATTAGGAGAATCAAGGTGAAATTCTGACAGCCACAGTAACATTGTTACTCTTAATATTTTAAATGAAAGCATCTTGAAGAGCACTGTTTGAGCATTTCTTGCCTGGGATATAGTTGTACATCATACAGCATTAGATCGACGTTTGTTTGTCATCATAAGAAAAGAGAGATCCTTGAGGGACAGGAGATGGCCGCACCCAAATGAAATCGCACCAACTAATATTTACAGTCTATGCAAGAACCATGTATGGGCCCAAGAGGATGTCATCTTCTCCTGGAACTCCCAGAGTAGACCGACATATGTTTTTATGAACTCAATGGTGTGTGTTTCTTATGTTAACTTATTCTAGAACAGCTTATATTAGAAGCAGATAAACTGACACAATTGTTGACTATTTTTGTTGTTCTTGTTTCCAGCTGTCAAATATAGCGCCTGGACATGTATGCTAATCCTTTACAAATAGCAGTGTTGCAACCGGTTCTGTGGACATACATGCAGTAAATCTTTGTAATTTCAGTGTAAACTTTAGAAAAATAGAATCTTGTGCGCATAGAGCTGTTTATGGTTTCCCCTATAGTCTGTTCATTGCTATTCACCCACTACCCCATTGTCTGTTTCATGGAATGATGATGGGACCCCACCTCGGGTCCAGACTCATGGGCTTCATCTTCTTCTTGCCTGTTCAGCCCTGCACCAACAGCCTCAGTCTTCATTCTACAACCTCAGTCCTGGATCTAGAGCCTGTCGGTCCGTAGGAGTGACTCCCTCTCTCAATCTGGGCCTCCCAGAGGTTTCTCAAAGTTTTCTTTTTTGAGTCGATCCTAAGGGCAGTATAGATCCGGGACATTCGAAACATTTATGGACTGTAGTCATCCTGCTCCCTAAGGACCAATAAGGACCCAAGGACCAACATTTCCTGTGTTCAAAGTGTTTCATTCTCTGATCTGTTGTTGGCAAATTGATAACTTCCTCCATGATGACTACTATTGTTTTATGGCTATACAAATATAAGTAAAAAATAATGAGTTTTGTGCATACAGTACTCACGGGGAATTCTTGACAAGATGGGATAGGATTGAACTATAAACTGTGTTAAAAGGAAACTATGTCAAATAGAAATGTAAAAGTCTAAATCTGTTTGTGTGTTGTCAATATGCAGCTTTATCTCTGAGATTATTTGTTCCCTCGGGACCGGACAAAAACATTCATCCATCCATTTTCTTCCCCTTAATCCATTTCTGGGTCGGGGGGGTGGCAGTCAGAGCTGCACCCAGTCACAGAGCACCAGCCCCTCACTGATCCTCCTGCAGGTGGTGAGTCCACAGGAGCCACAAAAACATTCAGGACGTTTTAAAGTTATAATAGACAGAAAAGTGTTTGTTTATGCCACGAGCTCTTTCACCAATTATCGCTTCCAGTGGTGAACCTCGGCCTGTGCAGGTACAAAACAATTGCATATTATTTGATTATGCAGCTCATAATACATATGAGCTGTAGTTCAGTTCAGTGTGAGCTGCTGTGGCTGTGATTTGACAGTACGTGAATAGAATAGGGATGACTTCGGGGTATCATGTTTTAAGTTAATATCAAGTCAATTATGAGCTTGGATCACACGGTTCTCCATTCCATCTGTATTACTTACATTTCCAATTGTATCTCTCTGTCCTTAAATTGATTACTTTCCCCACAACAACACAGTATAAAAGTAACGTTAGCTGCTTGCCTTGATGTGTATATGTATGCGTATGCATCAAACTGAAGTTTCCCATTGTGGGACGAATACAGGACCCTTTTCTTTTCTTAAAACATGCAAAAGTACCGTTGGCAGACAATGGTATTTTATCCATTAACATGTTTGCACACTTCTGTCTTTTGCACAATCTGAAGTGATTCTATCTGTGCCAAATGTGACATGTAAATTTCTCCAGTGCAAGATCAATAAAGTGTATCTTATCTTTACATTGTTAATTATTAAAGAAATGCATTCACTTTTTTAAACTCAAGGTGACATACAAATAATTGCACAAGAAATGTATTCAATTCGCAGTGTCCTTTAAAGTTGTGATTATTAAATTAGTGTTTTTTTTTTTAATGTGATGAGTAGTTTTTTCCCAAAGTCGTAAGTGCGATCACATCCAGAGGGTGGCGCTGTTGTCACTGCCACAGCTCAGAGAGACTGCGCCCGAAGAAGAGTGAGGAGAATGACGAGAGCCGAAAATAGAGCAGCCACTTCTGACTGAGCGCTTTGTTAACCCCATTATATCTAAATAACGCTGTTGAACACCGTTGCACTGTATTCGCTAAAGTATGACAGAGCCCCAGTCTGCATTGTTGCTCAAGAAACAGCTTGCAGGTAATGAAAAGCACTGAAGTGTTAACTGGTGACGGCATCCGCGCTAACAGCCGTTAGCTGCTGCTGAAGACTGAGCTGGCGCAAACTGTTTCCTGAACCTTCTACACTGTCCACAAACGATTTCTATGCATTTGCCATTTCCACGTGTAATCTGTGGAGTGGTACGGCTGTGTGTTGAGTCTCGTTTGTGTTGTTCGCTCTGTGTACAACTTGTTTTGTCATGTCTTCTGATGTTCAGTTGAAACCGCTGTCAGAACTGTGCTGCACGGCTAAGCTAGCGCGACCCTTTAGCATCGCTTCTGTTTACAAACACACCGACGAGCGTATCTGGCGCTGTTGATCCGATTGGAATATATCTGATGTTGATACATTATATTTGATGCGAGTGGTGAAATGACAGATTGGCATCACACACACATAATGCTAAGTGAGGGGGAGAAGTCCAACGGAAAACAAACGTTAAAGGACCCCATGTACCGGGACTGGGGCGTCTGGATTTTACTCTTTATTTTATTGATGGCCTATACAATATAACCATATGTCTACTAGAAAAGTAAATGTTCAAAATATAGACACATCTCTCTTTGTGGCTGTTTAAACAAACCGCTACCTTGAGTTGAATCAGGACCAGTTTAAACTACAAACTCACGAATAAGAGAATAGTCCAAACATTTGCATTATTAAACGTCAATAAACCCACTATCAACTAGTCATTCTAAAATGTATTAGACCTCAATCCCCAGGCACTAGCTACATCCTCTTGTTTACCATGGACACTTTGAGCTGATTTTGTTCAGAGAGTATTCTCATTAATTATTCAGTCAATTTCCCCATTGTGGGACAAATAACCGTTATCTTAATGGAGTCACCAGCAGCTAAAACTACATGGCCTCTCAGAGAACAGTTACTTGTTTGTACTCCAAGGGGTACAAATATTCTCAACAGATACGGTTGACAATTTGTCTATATTTGAAAGTGTTAGAGAAAAGCTTTGAGTGATTTTGTAATTGTTTTGTGTCTCTTTCAGAGCTGAACAAAAACCCAGTGGAGGGATTCTCAGCAGGTTTGATTGATGAAAGTGACCTCTACAGATGGGAAGTCCTCATAATTGGTCCTCCAGACACACTTTAGTAAGTCTTCAATTGTTGCCTGTATTATTTCCAAACTCAACCTTGTATTCTGTTTATCTGTCATATACGATCATTATTTGTTTTCTCAGTGAGGGAGGGGTTTTTAAAGCTCACCTGACGTTTCCCAAAGACTACCCTCAAAGACCGCCCAAAATGAAGTTTGTCACAGATATTTGGCATCCTAACGGTAAGTGCAGGGACAATAACGCTATGCACAGGCACAATTTTATGAAGGACTGATGTCTTCTCCAATGTTAAGCTGACAGAGGACAATATTTATGTCACATGTGGATGGTAGATAATGTCAGCTAAAGTTCATGCAGGTGGGACAAATGCTGTCACTGTGATATTATTCCAACCTGTGCTTGTACAATTAGGATGCAGAAGCAGGTATCACTATCCACACACAAACATAGTATACATTTGCAGGGTGGCTGGGAAGCTGCTCATATTGGACACAAGTTTTAAAACACAGTGGAAAGAGGAGTGAGTCACATGGGCAACCCAATTTTCCAAAGTCTGTGTCCTAACAAATGCAGTGTGAGATTCTTACTTAGATATTTGATATGAAATGGAAAGCTTCTTCGCACTAATATGGCCATTCTAAACTCCCTTTACACACTGCTACATTACTCAGTTCATGTCAGGACAAACACAAGACAACTGCGCTTTTATTGAATTATACTGTAAGCAGCTGTGTTTTATTTCCTCTGATAAATTATTTCTTAATTTACTATGATTGAGTTGTGTTTGGTGTTGTTACTAACAGGTGCTGTGTTTTTCAGTTGACAAGAATGGAGATGTATGTATTTCTATTTTACACGAGCCTGGGGAAGACAAGTATGGCTATGAAAAACCAGAGGAGCGCTGGCTGCCCATCCACACTGTTGAAACCATCATGATTAGTGTTATCTCTATGCTGGCAGACCCAAATGGTGACTCCCCAGCAAATGTGGATGCAGCTGTAAGTCCCATTTGAGTTTGTATATAGTGTTTTAAAATCAAAAGACTCAAATGACCTAAATATCATAAACAACATCTGTTCATTCATTTGTAGAAACAATGGAGGGATAAACAGAATGGTGAATTCAAAAGAGAAGTTTCTCGCTGTGTACGAAAAAGCCAAGAGACAGCATTTGAGTGATATTAGTGAAATTCTAGTTCAATGTTTGCAGGGTAAGTCAAAAGTGTCCTTCCCTTAAATTTCACCTCGCTAACTGCTTTGTTCACATTCACATGTAATTTGTTTGGTTTGTCTTTGTTTTACACTGTTCCAGGTTTCAATTTTCCAATCAACATGGCACTGTATCATTCTTCAATCCAGGTTCAGGCTTGTCCTCCTATTTTCAGAAGGACTGGTTTGGATTTTCCTTGGGCTGCAACTGAACATATACCAGTGACTTTGAATAAAAGTTGCCAAGCAAGTGCCAACAAACCGGAAAAATAATGAATACCATTTTATTTGAGTCTATGAACTGCTTCAACCTTCAGGAAGATATTGTAAAGACATGTAAATAGTACAGACTAAACCGGATAATATATTCACTTTTCCTTCCGTTAGGAGTCTTTGTCCAAATAACTAGCACTGGTTTATTTTTGTCTACTTTTCCATCACTTCCATCAGTCTTTTGCTTTTTTTGTGGATATCCTCACAAGAAGATGGGATGCTTCTGGATTTACCTGGTCTTACAAGAACTCAAAGACACTTCAAATACTTTACTGTTGTCGCTTTTAAACCGTTAGAAACTATATTATATTAACATTATGAATTAAACTGCGGCAAATGTATGTTTTGTTACTGGATTAAAGTCTTACTTGAAGCCACTGACTCACAGATCCTCTCCTGCGTCTGCATGCGTTTGTTGAAATTTCTAAAGTGCCTCCTAATAAAATGCCTGGCTTCTAAACCCTGCATTTAAACAAACTAAAAGAGAAACACACTTTTTAAATTGTATAATACCAATGGTGAGTTCTTGGTGTAGCAATAATCCTATCTTACTTTCTGATATCCTGTTATTTTAACTGCTATTTAACTTGTACGTGTCCTCTAGAAATTGTTATGCATGCTTTAGCTTTTTATAATAACTGATGAACAGGATTCTTCTTTGCAAGCTCCACGTGTTTCTGTATAGCTATGTTCATAATTTCATTATTGACCACTTTAAGTCATTTGATCTCAGCTCTTGGATTTATTTCCCGGTCTCCTATGTACAAAGAAAATACTTATGTATATTTTTCATGTTACACCGTTTGTCTTCTGTGGTGACTTCTAAAGTATGACTTTTTCAATATTTTGTGTGGATTTTCATTTGGATGTCATATAGCTCTATTACTTTAGTTTAATGTGAATGTGTACACTTAATGCAACTCTTGTAGTTGCAAATTCAGCTTTAATGTTGGACTGATTGAAAAGTTAAAATATTATGACCTCTTTTACAAGCTGTGGAAGGAAAGAACACAATACTGTCTCGTGACAGTGCACGTAACTTTATACTCACTTTAAACAAATTATTGCCACTTTTTCTCATCAGAAATTGTATTTCTTGTAATTGAACGTTAACGACCGAGAAACCAACGTACAGTATACACAGTGGCAAACCACTACTCACCATTTTTACAATTCTAATAATCTCCAGTTTAGCTCTGAAAATCAGAGACTTTCACTTAAGTTAAACCCCAGCGTCTACCATTGTAAGAGTTTTATTGGATTCAAACATAGATAACAAAAGCGGAGGAAAATAAATGTGTTTTCCTGAAGGCTCGTGAACGCCTCACCGCTGACGTCGGTACAGTCTGTGGTTGTATCGCGATAGTCTGAGGCCAAGGAGCTGCGCCGAGCAACATGGCGGAAGGTATGAGAGAGTCTTTCTGCTCTTTACACACACCCGATCCCCTCCTAATGCATGTGAACGCTTTACATTAGTGCTTGCAACTGGTAACATTAGTAAGACACTGCTTTATAAACGCGAATCAACAGTGAAATGGGCGTCAGGTATCTCAAGGCTCGGTGGCACTGCTGATTATGTTGGCTAGCTGATTTTTTTTATACTGTAGTAAGCCGCACTGAGCTGTCAGGTTGACTTTTAGTGATCTGGGATGTGAAACATTTTCTTTTCGTTAGTATGAATGGACTGATCATGTCCTACATGTCTGTTCTTGTTATTAACGACAGGTTATTGAGTTGTGACTAGTTGCATAGCCTTCAATTCATGAGCACAGGTACTTTGCTGGCAGTATTTTGCAATTGTAAATTTGCAATTACCTTTCTGTAATTTCACACATGATCTTGTATATCTTTTAAAATACTTAGCACCTATTGTTCATTGATACAAGTTTACCATATAATCTGTCAAATTCAGTATCCTTGTTTTACAGGGTATATGGCCAAGCAAACTAACTTTTTTGTGTTCATTTGTGTTTCAAATACAATTGTAAAATTAATTTGTGTTACATGCCTATTATTGTACCTATCGTCTATAATCCACATAATGTTATGTGCTCTTGGCAATGTCAGTCATGGAAGTTGGGCCACTCTTTCAGAATCATCCCCCCGAAGTATATTACTCCCAGAAACCAACCATGACCATTTACGAGGAAGGCCAAAGTAACATGCTGACCTCAGCTTTGTCTTTTTTCACTGAAACTTTTACGGGAAGGAAATGGGTTGTGTGGACTCAGCTTTTCGACCAGGATATGATTATTTCTATAGTTTTAGTAAAGTACCCCCTTTTCTTTTTGTAATGGTGTTCTTTGTTTTCTACACATGAGTCTAACTGCTTTCATACTTAATGTCACTGACAAGATGTTATGAATATGAAATGATCATTACAATCATGACAAGTTTTAGGGTTCTCACTGTTTAGTCCTGAATCATGCTATATACACTTGATTTAGTCCTTGCCTATTTCAGATTGTGTTCAGTCCCAGATTTCATAAGTGTGATCCTAATCTTCTGTCTGGCACAGAGGAGGTGGCCAAGCTGCAGAAGCACCTGACTCTGCTTCGGCAGGAGTATGTGAAGATGCAGCAGAAGCTGGCCGACACAGAGCGGCGCTGTGCGGTGCTCGCGGCACAGGCCTCTGGTCCCGGCGTGTCCGCTCCGGGCTCCACTGGCCAAACATCTGCAGACACTTTCATCAGCCGTTTACTGGAGATTGTGGCTGACCTTTATAAACAGGAACAGTACAGGTGACTGCGCTGGTGACTATCTTTTTAGAAATGTGATGAGTGACATAGTGGTCTAACACATTTATTTGTTTCTTCTTTTTTTAGTGACCTGAAGGTAAAGGTTGCAGGTGACGAGCTTTGTGCTCACAAATTTGTGTTGGCAGCTCGCAGTGACATCTGGAGTCTGGCCAACATGGCCTCTACATCTGAACTGGACCTCTCTGGTAAGAGTCATTACATCCCCTAGTTGGATTTAACTTTATACTAATAAAGCATGGACATACATTTGTTTTGAAAACCTCATACTTGTTGATATTTTGAACAGCGTTACAAATCAATGGTCATGAAGAAGATGTCATGTAGTGCATCTCAGTAGATGCTTCCTCAATTCCTCTCCTTTTTTAACAATTTCTCCACTGGAAATGTGTAAGGAAGTTTTGACCCACAAAAAGTTAGCTATGCAGATGAGCGAGGAGGAAGCGTGATCTGATTGACGGCAGAAAATTGCCAGAATCAAGGAGGGGAAACATCAATTGAGATGCATTGAATCTGCAGGGCTTAAAGGTATAGAAGGATTTTCTTCTTCCGGGTGTGGATTCCCAGGTCACAAACAAACGAGTGTTTTTGGGAGATTCTTTCACACAATGGCGTGTGGTTGGGTACACGTCGCAAGAGTAGCGAGTGATGCGCGCCTCACCTCGGCAGAGTAGGCATAGTGAAAAAATGCAAATCTTGGAAAAAGAACCAGTGTGAGCGATAGCGATAGTGACTTGTAAACAGAGCGTGCACGAGGAGACCTGGGTTTTGGGCATGTCTCTCGTCTTTTGTAAAATTTTAGAAAATACTCCTATGAAGTAATGGCTGAATAATAAATGAGCAAAAATATACCAATTTGTACTTTTTTTTTTCCTTTTTTTTCTTTCAGATTGCAAACCTGATGTTGCCGTAGCTATGTTGCGTTGGGCTTATTCGGACGAATTAGAACTTACTGAGGACGATGTCTTTCTTATCGATCTAATGAAACTGGCCAATCGTTTTCAACTTCAGTTGCTCAGAGAGAGGTCAGTGCATGAGGTTTTACATAAAATCCAGTTTTTTACTAAAATATGTTTTTATGTCCTTTTTAGATGTGAAAAAGGTGTAATGTCTTCTGTAAATGTCAGAAACTGCATTCGGTTCTACCAAACTGCTGAAGAACTAAATGCTACAACTTTAATGAACTATTGTGGAGAGATTATTGCCAGTCACTGGGTAAGCAGTAGTGCAATTATTCACCAATGATCTTTATTTAATCAATGAACAACAACTGACTTTTTGTATTTTTAGGATGATCTCAGAAAAGAAGATTTCTGTACTATGAGTGCACAGCTCCTGTACAAAATGATCAAGTCTAAAACTGAGTATCCCCTTCACAAAGCCATTAAAGTAGAGAGAGAAGATGTGGTCTTTCTCTATCTTATTGAAATGGATTCCCAGGTCAGTTTAACATAAATCACCACTTAAATATTGCATTTTTTTCTCATTAAATCCCTCGTGTTGTAGCTACCTGCTAAGCTTAATGAACTTGATAACAATGGTGATCTGGCACTTGATCTGGCACTTTCCCGAAAATTAGAGAGCATTGCCATCACTCTGGTAAACAACAAGGCGGATGTGGATATGGTGGACCAGAGCGGCTGGAGTCTGCTGCACAAGGCCATTCAGAGAGGTTTGGTGTTCATCTTCTGATGCCTATTTCTATCAAATATTTTTGAAAGAGAAAATATTGGATTACATTTGAAATGTGTATATATATGTTTTGAATCTAGGTGATGAATTTGCCTCCATATTCCTAATTCGCCATTCGGCTCAGGTGAATGCTGCTACTGTGGGAGCTGTAGAAACGCCTTTGCACTTAGTATGCTCTTTTAGTCCTAAAAAGCACTCGGTGGAAGTCATGGAAGGAATGACACAAATTGCTGAGTCCTTACTGAAGGCTGGAGCCAACGCTAACATGCAGAACAGCAAGGGCAGGTATATTCTATGATTTATACTCTCATTCTCATGGGAAGGAGGGAAGTGTCCATTGAATAATCTTTGAGGCATTTTTTAGGACACCTTTACATGAAGCTGTGACATCAGGAAATGAGACGGTTTTCAAGCAGCTTTTACAATGCAAACAGTAAGTACATTCCTACAATGGCTACAACTTTTATCATCTCTTTTGCCCTGAACATATTTGCTACTTCATTATCAAAATTGGGTCAGAACTAACAAAAAGACTTGAACATGCATTTAAAACATCTTCCATCTCTAATCTTTGTGTCACAAAGTGAACCGAGGCTCTCTCTAACTAAAACTACTTTGGGCATTTGTACAAAGGCCAAGTAGCACTGTAATGATGTTTAAAGCAGAGAAAAGTCAAAAAGCGTAATATGGGAACTTTAAACGATGTTACAATAAAATAATTTACATTTTATAGGCTTAGCCGATATACAGTGCCTTGCGAAAGTATTCAGCCCCCTTGAACCTTTCAACATTTCGCCATATTTCAGGCTTCAAACATAAAGATATAAAAAAATATGTTTTGTCAAGAATCAACAACAAGTGGGACACAATCGTGAAGGGGAACAAAATGTATTGCATAATTTAAACTTTAACAAATAAAAAACTGAAGTGGGGCGTGCAATATTATTCGCCCCCCTTGCGCTAATACTTTGTAGCGCTACTTTTTGCTGCAATTACAGCTGCAAGTCGCTTGGGGTATGTCTCTATCAGTTTTGCACATTGAGAGACTGGAATTCTTGCCCATTCTTCCTTGCAAAACAGCTCGAGCTCAGTGAGGTTGGACGGAGAGCGTTTGTGAACAGCAGTCTTCAGCTCTTTCCACAGATTCTCGATTGGCCATTCTAACACCTGGATGCGTCTATTTGTGAACAATTCCATTGTAGATTTGGCTTTGTTTTGGATCATTGTCCTGTTGGAAGATAAATCTCCGTCCCAGTCTCAGGTCTTTTGCAGACTCCAACAGGTTTTCTTCCAGAATGGTCCTGTATTTGGCTCCATCCATCTTCCCATCAATTTTAGCCATCTTCCCTGTCCCTGCTGAAGAAAAGCAGGCCCAAACCATGATGCTGCCACCACCATGTTTGACAGTGGGGATGGTGTGTTCAGGGTGATGAGCTGTGTTGCTTTTACGCCAAACATATTGTTTTGCATTGTGGCCAAAAAGTTCGATTTTGGTTTCATCTGACCAGAGCACCTTCTTCCACATGTTTGGTGTGTCTCCCAGGTGGCTTGTGGCAAACTTTAAACAAGACTTTTTATGGATATCTTTGAGAAATGGCTTTCTTCTTGCCACAAAGGCCAGATTTGTGCAGTGCACGACTGATTGTTGTCCTATGGACGGACTCTCCCACCTCAGCTGTAGTTATCTGCAGTTCATCCAGAGTGATCATGGTCCTCTTGGCTGCATCTCTGATCAGTCTTCTCCTTGTTTGAGATGAAAGTTTGGAGGGACGGCCGGGTCTTGGTAGATTTGCAGTGGTCTGATACTCCTTCCATTTCAATATAATTGCTTGCACAGTGCTCCTTGATGTTTAAAGCTTGGGAAATCTTTTTGTATCCAAATCCGGCTTTAAACTTCTCCACAACAGTATCTTGGACCTGCCTGGTGTGTTCCTTTGTCTTCATGGTTCTCTCTGTGCTTTAAACAGAACCCTGAGACTATCAAAGAGCAGGTGCATTTATACGGAGACTTGATTACACACAGGTGCATCCTATTTATCATCATCAGTCATTTAGGACAACATTGGATCATTCAAAGATCCTCACTGAACTTCTGGAGTGAGTTTGCTGCACTGAAAGTAAAGGGGCCGAATAATATTGCACGCCCCACTTTTCAGTTTTTTATTTGTTAAAAAAGTTTAAATTATCCAATAAATTTCGTTCCACTTCACGATTGTGTCCCACTTGTTGTTGATTCATGACAAAAAATGTATATCTTTGTTTGAAGCCTGAAATGTTGAATACTTTCGCAAGGCACTGTAAGTTATGTATGTTGCCCTCAACAATTGTAGTGCTTTGTGACTCTGGTCTATGAAAGACGCTATATAAATAAAGATTACTTACTTAGCTCTGTTCTGAAATGCAATAGAATACAGGAATGTTAATTATTTTAGAATAAACCATGTATTTTACTATACTAACCATGTATACAATGGCAAACCTTAGAAGCATTGGCATCTCACTGTATTTAAGCTGGGTACCCACTGCTCAGGAGCATTTATAAATTTATAAACTCGCAATAACATGAATAGAATGTTGAACTCTGCAGAGTTTTGATATGGCACAGATTGTTGGCGATTTGACTGTCACCTTTTTTTGTAATATCTTGTGTATAATTGATATGCTGTGTTTTAATAGGCTTGATCTGGAACTCAAAGATCATGAAGGCAGCACACCATTATGGCTGGCTTTGCAATATATAACAGTTGCTTCTGATTCAACTGTAAATCCATTTGAAGTTGAGGCACCTGTACTGAACGGCACTAGTTTTGATGAAAACAGTTTTGCTGCACAGCTCATTCACAGGGGGAGTAACCCCGATGCACCAGACAATACCACAGGTACATTGTAATGCAAAGTTTCTTACTGCCGCATTACATTTCTATTAATTATTGTTTTTGTTGTGTAGAAAATTGCCTTTTGCAGAGAGCCGCCCTGGCATGCAATGAGGCAGCGGCACTTTTCTTAGCTACACACGGTGCCAAAGTGAATCATATTAACAAATGGGTAAGTAACACATTGGTTTATTAAAATGTACAGTTTCAAAATCACAACCTCTTTCCTTACTTTGCTTTGTGTAGTATTTGAAACTCTCTGTGTATGTGTAAAGCCCTTTGTATTCTTGTAGGGCGAGAGTCCGCTTCACACAGCATGCCGTTGTGGCCTTGCAAATTTAACTGCAGAGCTTCTCCAGCAGGGGGCAAACCCTAACCTGCAAACACTGAAGGCTCTGCCGGAAGACAACCCTGCAGTAGCTCTGCAAACCCCACTTCATATGGCCATCGCACACAACCATCCAGATGTTGTCTCTGTGATTCTCGAACAAAAAGGTTTGTTTATTTCTTCATGATTTTATGTTTCTTTCTAACAAACAAATTCATGTTTTATCATGTTCCAGCAAATGCCCTTCATGCGACAAACAATTTCCAGATTATTCCTGACTTCAGCCTCAAAGACTCAGTCGACCAGACAGTGCTTGGCTTGGCTCTGTGGACAGGTACACACAAAATACATATTCTACATTATTATCATTGACAAGTATTTATTAGTATTAGAGTTTGCATGTGCAATAGTCTTATCCAACCGTTCCATATCAATTACCATTTTGTAACTTACTTCTAGGCATGCACACAATAGCAGCACAGCTGCTGGGCTCAGGGGCATCTATTAATGACACTATGTCCAATGGACAAACCTTGCTTCACATGGCAATCCAAAGACAGGATAGCAAAAGTGCCCTCTTTCTTCTTGAGCATCAGGCTGATATCAATGTCAGGTAATAACCTAATTGTACTGTTACCTATCTGCTATATTTACTTTTATTCAACAGTATGTTAAATAAATACTAGAACATTGCTTTTCTTTCCAAAGAACACAAGAGGGGCAAACGGCACTGCAATTGGCGATTGAGAACCAGCTGCCTCTAGTAGTGGATGCTCTTTGCACTCGAGGAGCTGATATGTCTGTTGTTGACGACAAAGGGGATCCCCCGCTGTGGTCAGCTCTGGTCAGTGGTTTGGAAGATATTGCTTCCACGCTGGTGAGTTAATGAATACTGATGTTTGTAATGTGTCTATACGATGGGCAGTTCTGCACAACGTGTGCATTACATTTTGAAAGTAAATTCAGATTTCCACCGCAGGTCCGCCATGGATGTGATGCCACGTGTTGGAGCTCGGGCCCCTCTGACTGCCTGCAGACACTTTTGCACAGAGCTGTTGATGAGAACAATGAGGTCATCGCTTGCTTTCTCATTCGCAGGTATTTCCAAATAATAAATATGAATGTATTTTATCTAGAGCTTTTTTAGATACTCAAACATGCTTCACGTGGCATTATTCATTCACCCTGTACACGGCAATGGTAGAGTACTACTGTAGCCACAGCTGCCCTGGGGTAGATTGACATAAATGATGCCCATTTCTGATGGATTTGGTCCCAAGTTTGCCCCATAAATATTCACGGGTAAAGTTACTGCAGTTTTTAAATGCCAAGTCTGCTGTATTTCTAGTGGGTGCGATGTAAACAGTTCCAGAAGACCAGGACCGAATGGAGAAGGGGATGAAGAAGCCAGAGACGGACAAACGCCACTGCACCTGGCTAGCAGCTGGGGTTTAGAAGAGGTCGTGCAGTGCCTTCTAGAGTTTGGAGCAAATGTTAATGCACAGGTTTGTTTGCATCAACATCACACATATGTTATGGAACAATACAAGTAATTAGTTTCACCCCTGTTAGGATGCTGAGGGGAAAGCTCCCATCCACGCTGCCATCAGCAATCAGCACAATGTGATTATACAGTTACTGATTTCCCATCCTGATATCCGTCTCACCATTCGTGATCGTCAGGGAATGACCCCTTTTGCTTGTGCCATGACCAACAAAAACAATAAGGCTGCAGAATCTATTCTTAAGCGTGAGCCTGGTGCTGCCGAGCAGGTATGGGTGATAATGGGGTCATATAGCGTTTAAAGACAGTGCATGTTTGTAAATGGCTTTTTATGCAACTAGACACATGAGTGGTGACATCTGACCTTTTTTTTAAACGTTGTTTTTAGGTGGATAATAAAGGGCGCAATTTTCTTCACGTCGCTGTACAAAATTCAGACATTGAAAGTGTCTTGTTCCTTATAAGCGTCCAAGCAAATGTCAACTCAAGAGTTCAGGATGCAGCCAAACTAACCCCTCTCCATTTGGCTGTCCAATCTGGCTCAGAGATTATTGTGCGGAACTTGGTATGTGTTTAGATTAACAGTCAAACTGTTGGTTAAGTACAATAAATAATTTAAAAACCTTTTTTCCTAGTTACTTGCTGGTGCTAAAATCAATGAGGTGACGAAGCACAGACAGACAGCTCTACATTTAGCTGCTCAACAGGACCTTGCCACAATTTGTTCTGTTTTGTTGGAAAATGGAATTGACTTTGCAGCAGAAGATGAAAATGGCAACAATGGTATTTACTTTTTGTTAGTTGAAAAGTCAGTGTATTTTGTATCCATAAAAAACTCCTGTTTTGCTTAAACTCAAAACTCTCCTGCTAGAGTTGCTTTTTTCCATTTAAACAGCTATTGTTTTGGTTGCAGCTCTGCATTTGGCTGTGATGCAAGGCCGCCTTAACAATGTCAGAGTTCTCCTCACAGAGTCCACTATAGATGCAGAGGCCTTCAATCTCAGGTACTGTATTTCCTTTTGTTCATCATTGTTTCATTGTGTCTCTTTTGAAATAATGACTGTCTTGTTCATCTGCCAGGGGACAGTCACCAATGCACGTGTTGGGCCATTATGGAAAAGAAAATGCTGCTGCCATTTTCGAATTGTTCCTTGAGTGTATGCCGGAGTATCCTCTTGACAAACCAGACAATGAGGGGAACACAGGTATAGATTACTATACACATGCTGATTAGCCAAAATTCAATACAATACATTCAGTTCTAATAAATGCTTACTTGATTTGCAGTTCTTCTACTGGCATACATGAAAGGAAATGCTAATTTATGCCGTGCCATTGTAAGAGCGGGTGCACGACTTGGTGTCAATAATAGTCAGGGAATTAACATTTTTAATTACCAAGTTGCAACCAAACAGTTGCTCTTCCGCCTTTTAGGTCAGTTACTACAAAAACTGTGATCATGTGTTTTTAGCTTGATCTTACATCTCCTTTTAATGTGAGTAGACATGCTTTCCAAAGAGCCCCCATGGTGTGATGGATCAAACTGCTACGAATGTGGTGCCAAATTTGGTGTTACAACACGGAAACATCACTGGTACTATTCATTTGGAATACTTTAGTACAATACACTGCACCATCTGTTGTTGATTGTGTTTTTTTTTTCCCCAGCCGTCACTGTGGGCGTCTTTTGTGCCACAAGTGCTCGATAAAGGAGATCCCAATCATTAAGTTTGACCTGAACAAGCCTGTGAGGGTTTGCGACATCTGCTTTGATGTACTAACTTTGGGAGGGGTATCATAATTCCATTTCTATGTTTTTCATATGCCTTATTAATGGAAAGTACAATATTTGTGACATAACAAATGTGAGCTTTGGATCACCACCTCTATACTATATAGAACATTTTTATCTTGAAAGAACTGTCAAGTATAACATCTTTTTTAAATCAATCATTGTTGACAAGTGTAGCAGACTTCTCTCGTCAGTTAAAACTTATGATTTTGTGCTGTGATTGTTTTGAAAATTGCACATTTCAAAAACCCAGAGCCTGTTTTAAAATATGAATAAAAGGGAAAGAAAATTAGAAAGAAAAAACTTGCATGCAACTTGCAAACTTTAAGAATTTACATGTTTCATGAAACATGAAAAGGATCATGCTCTTTTATATATGAGAAGTATTCTCATGGTCCCCGTCCATACATAGGAAAACAGACATGATTTCATTTGTTCATTCCAGTTGTGAGGTGTACCTCATAAATATACATTCCATTTTGACCTAAACTATGACTCACAGTAGTACCTCAAGTCAAGTTACTGATCAATGCTTCTTAAGTTTCTAACCCTGACAGGTGCACTTTATAACAATGACATTTCGGACCCAGGAGATTATGGAGACGTGTAATGGCCATATAGTGAGGCCCAATTAAGTATTGGTAAAGTGTACAGATAAATGTGTGATATTTTTGACCACTACAACAATTTTGTACTTTCTGCAGTTTGTGCTTGTCATTGTGACAAACTTAAATCTTGCCGCTGGTAATATTTTATGCACATTGTTTAATCTTTTATGCACATTGTATTGTATCTGTATGCTCAAATATCTAGCCTGTTCCTTCTGATGTATCCTTTTAATGAAAGGAGGGACAACTTTACATAAAGGTGATCAAAAACAAGGATGTGTTTGTTTTTTTTGGCTTTATTGTCTTTAAAAAAATTAATTTGGTCCAATAAGGCATGTTATAGATGATGGTGAGCAACCTTCATATTCCTTTACATTAGGATCATGTTCAGATGGGTGTTCAACGCAGACACATCGGGCAATGCTGGACCCAGGAGAATACAGCTGCCGAGGGACACCAGCCCATTCTCGCTCCACTCCACCACTAAAAAAAACACATTAAATACCTCATTCTGACAAAAGTAAAATATATAGCCTGATTCACATTGTACAAAAATACAAACAATATCATTAAAGACCACCAATAAATAACTGAAAATATGCATTTTGTGGAAGGGTATTCTTGAGCTACTCAAACTGATCTGCACTTCTGCAGTAATGATCCAACTCCTTTGAATGTGGTTGTAATGGTCGTGCTCACTCATGCACAACTGCAAGTCATTCTCTGATATTTGCACATTTCAGATGTGCTGCACATGCCAATAATGCACAGTTTTTACCCAAGAGAGTTGAATCAAGTGTATATTTTTTCCCATTAGTTCTATTGGTGACAGATGTTTGGTAAATGATCATAATTTGTATTTATATTTTTGTTCAGTGTATATTTTCAGTAAATACCTTTTTGTAGAGCACCAGACTCGTCCTGTTGAACCACTCCATTCTGAATTACATAGTGGAAAGAGGGCCTTTTCAGCTTCAGATTTTGCTTTGAGTCTGCGGCCTTCTGCCAGGGAAGCCTCAATTTGCAGTAATAGCTCTGTAGGCTCCCCACTTTCTGTATAATACCTCCCAATAAGGAATCCTTGGATTACACAAACATTTAACATATTGAAAAGTCGTGTTCACTCTTAAGAATTAAATGTAAATAACGTTGTGTTATTGACACACACCTACATGTTGATATTGCCTCTGATAAAAGGATAACCACTCATATAAAGCAACCAGCTGCAATGGAGACACATTAGAAACGTCATCTGTCAGTTCAGTTTCTCTAAAATCCCCTGTGATGAAAGATAACGAGGCATCTTTTCCTGAAAAATACAATAGGTAATCAATAGATTCAACAGTTGTAGTCATGCAAGAAAATTCTTGTTTTCTCTGATTTGAGGCTGAAATTTAAATTTTTTAATCATTCTTTCTAAAAGAACAAAAAAAACAATTCAACAACAATTCACCTGCCATAACATGGTAAGCTCCACCTGGTCCATAATGCTTCTCTCCTTTGTTTACGTCAAAGATCTGACCCAACACAGCTAAGTATAAGCCTTTGCTTCCTTCTTTCCCATCATAAAATGATAATTCATGAAATGTTATGAGTCTCATATTTGAGGAATAATTTACAAATTCGCGTGGAAAATATTTAGCTGTAAGGAGTACAGACAAAACAGCTACTAAAGCATATCCTAGCATTTTTTCCCAAACAATATTACTACTGATGCCTGAATTTCATATCGGTTAAATAAATAAAAATATAAAGACAAATACCATGGATGTATCATAATAATAAATACCATGGATGTTCTATAATAATAAATCAAATACACTGTACTGGATGAATCAGGTGCTTCCTGAATGAGACGGCGCGCATGCGCACAGCAGATGCGCTCACGTGTTTGCTTACTGTGACGTAGGCACGTCAATGCGGTAGTGCTGTAGTGCTGAGCTCAGGGTGGAGGTTAGAGCACTGTGCTCTGTGATCGCGGGCCGAAGTGACTCTGTGGGCCGCAAACACCTGAGGGCAGACCGCACATTGACAACATCAACATGGGGAACTCAGAGAGCGGCTGTGGGGGGGCCAGCGGGGACGAGGAGGACGTGGAGACGGAGAGTCCAGGTTTCGCGGAAGACAGTCCGGCCTCTGCGGCCACTGGCGGAGGCACTGGGACCGGCAGAAGCGGAAGAGGACCAAATGGCCTGTCAGTACCCACGGCTGGACCACCAAGTCCCGAGGCTCTGCTGGAACAGGTCAAACTGAGGGAAGCTGCGGCTCGTATTAGCGACTCAGGGGCGGCGATACCCGAGTCTGTTTTGGCTGGGAACGAAAGCGTCCTTGTGCGGTGGCTGGAAGACCGATTGAACCGCGGAGAGGAGTCTGTTAATGTGGAACAATTTTGTGAGATGTTGGAAAGCAGAGATGCGCCAAGAGAAGAGTGTGAAGAGGTAACTTTACAGATTGCAAAACCATCATGTCAAAACTCACCTGTTGTGTGTAGAAGTTTGAGCACCCCGAATGTGTTTCTGACATGCTGTCCGGTCCACTCACACATAATCTCAGACCGATAGTCATTGTTAGATGACTGTACTAACAACACTGCTTTGTTGTCACTGTGTTTAGCTATTATTCTTGCACGTGAATAGATCCTTGTTGTCATCGTGCCTGTGCAGTGAAGCACAGCGTTTGTTGGATTCTGTATGTTTCATCATGTCTAAATAAGAGAAATTGTCTCTGTCCCCAGGCTTTTGGTCAGTTTGATGCAGAAGGAGATGGCGTGGTGGATGTCGAAACTATGTTGATTGCCTTAAAGAACTCCAATGGGGCAAAACTGCAGGGAGAACTGAGTCATGTAATCAGACAACTTCAGGCATGCTCCCTTACTCCAGGTAAATATATTCTTTACCACACAAGTTTATAATACAACATTCAAAAAGAAGTTTACCTATGTAAGTATTGTCGTCTTCTTCTTGTAGGTTTTGTTGACATTTTCTCCAAGACCAAAGACAAGTTAGGGGCGCATGCCTCTAAGATCCTCAAATTTTTACACAGGAACCGAATTCCTAGCAGTGCCATTCCTTTTCCTCCTTTAGAGGGCTACAACAGTATCTGCACCATGAGGTCCACCGTGGTCCAGGACTATTTGGAGTTCCTTCTACAGAAAGAAAAAGGTGAGTAGCTCTAGCCTTTAGACCAGTGATACCCAAACTTTTTATAACTTCCTTCTTTTTCTGTTTATTTCAGATTTAGATATCCAGTACAGGGCAGAGCTAAACCGGGATCCAGATGTTGATAAGGTCAAGGTGGTCACTCAGTGTTACAGCACTATTGAAGCATCATCTAATATTTCTGATGTGTACAAAATGACAAACGGTGAGACGTCATCTTTCTGGCAGTCAGATGGAAGTGCTCGTTCACACTGGATCAGGCAAGAACATTTCCCTGAGATCTGTGGTGTTTATGCTCAATCATTGTGATGATTCTAAGGATTTATTTATGTTTTGTTTGGATCAGATTAAAACTTAAACCAGACATGGTTTTAAGGCGCCTGGCCATTGCTGTTGCTTCCAATGACCACAGCTATATGCCTCAGCTGGTTTCTGTGGCTGTCGGGAAAAATCGACGTTCATTGCTGGAGATAAAAGATATCCGTATCCCAAGCAACGTCACAGGCTACGTAGCCCTCTTGGAGAATGCCAACATTACATACCCATGTGAGTTTCCCTCTGATAAGGGTTTTTATGTCACTCAAAGTCCACTTTTTATCCAGCGTTGGGTAGAAACAGAGTACGTATTGCAAATATGTATTCAAATTACAACTTAAAACTTGTCAACAATTTGCAAGTGTGTCTCACCCTTTTCTAATCAACTATATAAAAAACAATGCATACCATGGTACCATAAACAACATTATTCTAATCCATTAGCTCATTGTCACGCTATAAGTATTCCAAGTATTAAGAATATGATGATTGGACAAAGAGATCAACTATGTTACAAAGTACATTGTAAAGCAGATATTCAGTATTCTGTGACTAAATCATTTGTTTTTACAAACTACTGCATAATTATACAGTATTTTGATGTCTGAAGAATGTACCTTTTTCCCCTGATCTGTAGACGTTCAAATAAACATTAAGCGTTGCCTGAGTGATGGGTGTGACACTAGGATTCATGGATTGAAGACTTTGGGATATCAGATCACCAAGAGTAAGGAAGTGTCTGTTTCGGATGCTTCAGCCATCTGGTACCTGTCGCTCCTCACCTCTTTGGTCACTGCTTCTATGGAAACTAACCCAGCTCTGACCCAGACTGTTCTTCAGAGCACGCAGTGAGTTATGCATTTCATAACTGACTGTTGTCAAGTTTATATCAAAGTGATAACAAGCTGTGTTTTTTGTTGTTTTTTTCTCTCTAGAAAAACATTAAAGCACATGCCACCCTTGTCGCTAACGCCATCATCAGCAGAGTTCCCCTTCTCTTTGAACATCTTGGAGGAAGTGGATGGATTTCTCTTAAGGATAGCAGAGTAAAGAGCTTATTCTCACATCCAGGCAGAATTTGTTTTTGTTTTTTTCTGGGCAATATTTCAGAGATTTTGAATGTAAATGCAAACACTCTTCATCGATTGCCAGCGGTTGTATGGAGCAATTTATTGTCAATATAATTTTCAATTTTCACATTATAATGACAACATGAATTACCCTGATTAATATTTGGCCTCCCCCAGGTCTAAAAAGCGTCTATTTTAACATCTATGACAGCTTGGAGTCGTTTGTGGTAGTTGTGGATACAGTTCTTTATCCTCTCTGATGGTGAAGCTGCCCATTGTCTTGGCAAAAAGTCAATTCCAGTTCCTTTAAATTCCTGAGCTGCCTTGCTCCGATGTTATTTGCAAATGGAAAACACATTTATTTGACAATAAATGACCGCAATAAACTACTGAGCGGAAAATAGGGTTTGTCTTAAATGGCCGATACTATGACTTTCAAGCACAACATATTAGCTGAAATTGAAGTATTTTTTGTGCTGGTCACAAGTACTTTTAGAGCAAAAGGATGTCTTTACTGCTTTAGAGTTTAGTTTTTATCTATAAAAGTAAAGTTGTCATTTCTTTCTATTTTTAGTTATTGTATGAATCCTGAAGCAGAGTTGACCCTCCTGGCCTTTGCCCTGGCTCGGGGCAGTGTCACCAAAGTCTTCCATGCTCTATCCAGCATCTGTGACCACCTGGAGACCCAGTACAAAGCGGCGTCCCTCATCGCATCCATGGCATCAGTCAGACTACGGCTCCTCTACCGCAATGGTAACTACACTTGTCAGTTCTTTTTAAATGACATTTCTAGTTTAAATGTATTCTTTTGGTACATAAGGACTTTACGTAATGATATATTTACACAGGGAAGCATATCCAGTTGCACTTACAGGCGTGTGACGTAAAAAGTAAAGAGGAAAAATCGGGCCCAGAAAACATGTTGTCTGAGAGCTCTACTGCAGATGGTAACTCAGTTCTCTTCAGTTTTTAAATTTTTTATTCTGTAAGAGGCCTGTAGAACCATGACATGTTTTTAATGTGAAGGCTTTCTCACTGAAAATGGCAAGAGGAAAGCCAGCATTATCCTTTCAACAGAAGATCAGAGTCATTTTCAAGTAACGCACATGAAAATAAAAGTAAGTCTTTCTGTGTTTTGTCATTTTTATCAGGTTGAAGGCTAAATCCTTTTTTGTTGGTCTTTTTAGGTGCGAAAAGGACCCATCGGGGCAAGATGTGGCTTAGTATTTGCCTACAGGGAGGCAGACCCTTTTGATGCTGAAAAACATTTCAATAGGTTCAAGAAATATGACTCATGGGAATACCGGGATTACAAAGATTTTGTTCAAACTAAGTAGGTGTACCCAGTGCTGACAAGCCATTTCCAAAATTTATTTTTAATAATGTTAATCTTATTAAATATATATTGTTCTGCAGCGTTAAGACTGCGAGACTGTCTGAAGATGACCCCATTGGTTGGTTTGAGTTTGAGGAAGATTGGAATGATGTCGAAATCAAACTCCAGCAGTGCCGTGTTGCAAAGGTATATTTTGGCATTTAAAAAAAAAAATATATATATTTTTTTCTATTATCTTCTTCCATATAAAACTCGTACAAATGGCCTCTCTTTCCCTTTTAGTTCCTGATGGTAAAATTCCTATGCACCAGGCAGGACAGTGCAGAGCGCCTGGGGGTCCAGGCTCTCTGCTGCAACGGTTACCTCTGTCCCAAGGATGAAAGGCTTGTAGATTTGGACGATCTGAGTTCTGAGGAAGAGAACACTGAGCTTGTCTCTGGTCTTTGCCTCCTGAACAAAACACTGTTCTTCATACAGCAGCTGACCCAAGACATGGTAAACCGCCTTAAATAATGAGCTACAACTAACAGTCAATTGCAGCTCTTGTTAAAACTTATTGTTACAGGATGCCTCTTATTTCAAACAGAAGTATATTCTCACCTTTGGCAATCTTAACTTGAATGTCTTTTGGGAGTTCTACCGTAAACTTGGGGAGATGTGAGTCTCAGTTCAGCTTTGTACTAAAATACTACCCAAGACTGCCATGCTTGTATTTATCTGTTTTTCTTTCTTCCAGAAATGACAATGAGGTGATGAAGGCAAGAGTTCTCCTCTTACAGTTGATGCAAAACTGTTTCCCCATGTTTCCCAGTCCACTGGAGGCCCAGCCCTTCGATGAAGCCAAAGGGTCAAATGACGAGGCTGCGTGTGCTTCCACTTCCATCAGCAAAGAATCAGACTCAGTCAAGGGAGTGGAAGAACTGTATTCTCACCTCTGCAAAAGTAAGGTTTTATTGACTGAGTGACTCTTCGCTGTAAGTGTTTGTTAGATATTGTAGCTTCCCTGTTTCTACAGTTGTGGATGGCCCAGAGGGGGATACTTTGATGACCAAAGCTTTGCATAAAGAAGCAGTGAAGGCCATCCTGAATGGTGCAGCAGTTTTCTTTCCAGACAAAAGCATTCGAAGGGAAAAACTCTTTCACATGATGGTCAGTGTCTTTGTGAACCTTGTGCCACTTTTTTATTATGTATGAACTGTTGTGATTGTTGTGAATTGTTCTGCTTTCCACTTAGAAAAACATAACAGAAGATCAACTCAAGTCCATCAAAGTGACATTCGAGTCACTCTGCAATTACTTCAGGTAACTACGGATTTCTGCATATACGAGCAGCTCTTCTGGATATTTCAATCAAACATTATGTTTTTTTTTAAGACCTTTTAATTAAACTTTGAATCAAAATTGAATAGTATTTTAACTGTATTGTTTGTTTGGTCACAAACAACAGATATTTTACAAACTGTAAAACAATGTAAAATGATTGTATAAATAATTTCTGTCCCACAGAAATGATTTCTGTCTGTTCTAACTAAAGACCTTTTTGATTATGCAATTGTTTTCTGCTTTAAGTGATCAGGATCCTAGTGGTTTGCTGATGCTTCCGCCCAAAGGAGCACCTGCTGACTTTGACATTAATCCCATTATGTCAGTAATGGAGACCCTGCTCCTGGTGGCAACTAGAGAGGTGAGATTTCCTGAATTGCATGTTGTCATTTTTATCTGCATAAGTACAGAGAAGGTGTATAGTGTCTTTTGTGTTTACCTGACAGTGTGACATAATCATGGCTGATGAGAGTGGCAGTGACAGTAGAGCAGTCTTGCTGTCCTTATTCTGGGCTCTACAGGGCAGTTTGCTCTCCTGGTGCTACTTGCAGCTCAAGGGAATTGTGTCGAGTCCAGATACAATGGACCTTGCCCGAGAGATTCTGATAAAATGTAAGGTATTATCTTAATAAGTTGATTATGATGCACATTTAAAACTGCACTATGCACATTTCCCGGTTGGTTCCATCGAAATCTTTATTATAAGCCAACAAACTAAGAATTCAAGTTTTTTAGCAGCAGCTAAAACATCTGATTTAATTTTCTATACTGGGGTACATTCCAAGCATAGCAACAATCCCCCGTAGCAAGTGGGTAGAGGACCCCATCAGAGAAGTTGTGCAATGCACCTTTTACTGAATGCATATTTCTGTATAAACTTCTGTCATTTTCTTTTACGTAGACGTGGAGCTATTCTTAAGAAATATTAAGATGGTACTTCAATCTATGCTTGAGAAGTATACTGTTGCTGAAATAGCAGAGAAACTACATCATTCAATTCTCGTCATTGTATTTCGACAACTGGTAGGTCAAACGTGTAACTTTATGTGTAGGTATTGAAAGAGCTGAACTTGGGGTTTTCCACAGATGATCTTCCTCCTGGAGCTGTGCTCTCTGGACATCCCTCACAGTGTGCTCCTGAACAGTTTCTCTTCACTTGTGGAGCTTCTTCGAAGTCTATCGAAAGATTCTGGAGACATCCTCTCCAAGGTTTATTTCTCGCTACAATTTAGAGCTGAAAGTCGTTTTAACTGTTCAAAACATTGTATTTTCTTGGATCAGGAGAGTTCCCAGCAGCCTCAGCAGCCGGTCGTGCTGAGGACCTGGAACATGGAGTCCACACATAACTATGAAAACAGTCGCCATGAGACCAGCTTCTTTGCGTGTCCGGGGGCAACTGTTTTTGAGGTGGAGTTTGATGACCGCTGTGAAACAGAAAAGAGGTGAGTTAAAGCGAGATCACTACATATTAGGATTTCCATAGTCTGATTCTGTATCAAAATCCAAATTGGAAAGATTCTGGAGTTACAGCTCCCATAATTTTTTAATTTGACTTAAAAGTACCTCTTTTTAGACTGTCCAGAGTAAATGTAGGTAGAAATATAGAGGGTATATACTTAGATGAATGAGTGGTGGTCTTTTGAAGAAAAAAAACAGCGTAGGCTGTTGCTGATTTAGATTGAGTGCACTCCTGATCACAATTTTAAGGCCACTAATTAAATGGTGACTGCATGAAAACAGGTTCGATCCTCCACAAATGGGCAATATCACAATGTGGAGGGGAAAAATGTCTTCTTATTTCGAGATTGTATGTGATTGTTCTGTTTCTTATGTATTAACCATCCAAAATGTCTACAGATATGACTACCTAGAATTTACAGATTCTCGTGGTGGTAAAGTTCGGTATGACATGAAAGTGGGAACGGAGAAATGGCCAAAAGTATGATACATTTGTTGTATTATTATTTTACTGTCTACTTCTATTGATCAATCATCCTTTTGCCTTTTCAGAAAGTCACATTTGATGCTGGCCCTCAGCTGCAGTTCCTTTTCCACTCTGACAGCAGTAATAACGAGTGGGGTTTCAAGTTCACTGTCACAGCTTTAGGTCTGCCTGACATTACCATCTCCTGGATGTCAGATTTGGAGTTGCTAGTTGCACGCCTTATGGGACGCTTTGCATCAAGAACTTTAGGGCTTAAATCACCCTACGGTATGGTTTTGGTGACTATTTCTGCCTGCTTTTCAAATATAATGATTCACGTCCTATATAATCTGTTCTCAGAAATACGCAGCCACGTAAAGAAGCTATTACCTGGTAAAGTATCACATGTCCAGTCTTACCCTTTATGGAAACCAATTCTACGGCATGGATTGCGTGAAACAAGAGCAAGTGATCAAACTAAAGCAGCTCCAGAGCAGGTACACATTATAGATGGCCATCATTTATATTTTGCTCGTCTTTTGCACACTTAACTGGAGCCACCAGTGACCCAATCATTCTCCTGGTGGATTTATAAAGTTTGCCGTGTTAAGTATTATTCTTGTATCCCAGTTAAGCACATGGACGCACAAGGATTTGTTAAACTTCTTAGAGGACTTTGCTCGTTGGAACCCCTCCCAAGAAGTTTCTGATGGAAGAACGGAGCTAATGAAAACGCTGATGCAATCCTGTAAAAAACAGCTGATCAGAAATGAGGTCGCATCTGGTGCTAAAGCAGACCAAGCCGTTAATGCAATATGGGCAGCCATGGTATACCACACACCAGCCCTCAACCTTGCACTGACAGCTTATGGTAATCTTTAGTGAACAGCTGAAAGTGAAACATACTTATGTTTGGATTTTGACACTACTTTGTTTCTTCAGTTAACCAAGAATGTAAGTCGTTAAGTGATGAATTTACACATGTGTACTTGCTGGCAGACAGCATTCGAACTTGGATGGTGAGCATGACCCCTTTGTGCTATCAATCATTCATGTTATTTTTACTTTTTACTATTTTTGTTATGACATTTGTGTTCCACAGCTTGAAATAAGACAGAGATACTTGGTTCGAAAAATGAACGTGCCTGATGAGCAGCAAGTTGGATTACAAGAGGTTACAATTGATTCACTTGGTAAGAAACTCAGTGTTTTTACAAAAGCTAAAATTACTCCTTAACTATTAAACTTCATTTCCTCACTAGCCAATATGTGCATTGAGAAGAGCCTCCTGCTGTTCTGGTTTCCTCCATGTGGTGCACAGGAGAGTGAAGCAAGTAAAGGAGTAGATGGTACTGCTGCTCCTCTTGTCCGCTCCAGTTCAATTTCAGAAAGTGACTTTCAGGGCAGCTCTACAGTGGGACCTTCATCATTGGGGAATGAAGACAGCAACAGGATAAAAGAAGGACAACACGATCCCCCCATCTTACAAACACAAACATCCTGCTCAAACAGAAGGGGCCACAGGGGCTCCACAGAGAGCCTGTCGTCTCAGCCTGGGGAGCCAACCTCACCCTCCGCCTTCTCCAGGAAAGCTCCCTTCAGTCGAGCACGCCTCCGTCTCTTATCCTGCCGCTCGTTCGAAGAGCCTCGCTTGGCACTGTCTGTAAAACATCAGTATCCAATTCTTAAACACATTCTAAATTTTATAAAGGACCAAGAACTCACAACCGCAAGGTGATTATCAGTCATTGTGACATTTTTAAAATGCTGCTTTTCTACAAGAATAACTTTGTCTTTTTTGCAGCATATTACAGGCGCTGGCTCTGAACAAAGCTCAGGCTCTGAGTGTTTGCAACGTCCTGGAGATGGTCCAGCAGTGCTTGCGCTCGCTGGGGAAGCCACATCTTTTCCAGGCGCCTTGTATTCTATTCCTCCAAGAGCTTCTAGCCTGTCAGAAAGACTTCACAAGGTCAATAATGGAATAATTCTCTTGTTCAATGGCCTGTCATATTCATGGTTTTTTTGTGTCAGTTATTTTTCCCAGCTATCAGAAAGTGGGCAGAAACAAGGCGAGGATGTGAGACGCTCATATCATCAGTTGGTCCTTATGCTTGTTGAGGCAGTCCAGGGTTTCAATAGCCTAAATGATAAGTAAGCTGAGCTCAGTAGAGACAATGAAAGACTTCCATTTTTTTTAATATATATATTATTTCATATTTGTATCTGTTCCAGAGCTCTGCTTCCAGGGCTGTCGTGTGTTCAAACCTGCTTACTGCATCTTCTTGACATGAACTGGGACGTACTGGACCTGCCTCTGTTTTCAAAGGTTCTGCTTCCTGACATCTTGCTTGCAATGTCACAGGAGAACATCAGTGTACATGACATTGCCATCAGGTCGGCCCTTTTCTGAACAACAGTAATGTGATATGGTTATTGTATTTCTTATTTTATATTGCTTTTTAGTCAGTGGACAGAAGAAGATGAAATTGCAGATTACAAAAAGAACCAGGAGTGGATGGATGAGTGTATGGATGGGATGTTTGAGAAATGGTACGATAAAATTGATGAGGAAGATTCCATGGAGGACCGGCGAAAGGTACATAATCATCAATAACATGAATATATATGTAACAATGCCATCATACCATGTACATTTGAACTCCTTTTCGGGGCCTGCAGATGCACATGTTTATAGCACGTTATTGTGATCTCCTCAACGTGGTGATCTCCTGCGATGGCTGCGAGCGAATGGCCCCATGGCACCGTTATAGATGCCTCCAGTGCATGGACATGGATCTGTGCAAGACGTGCTTCCTAAGTGAGTTACTGCATTATCGTTACCGCGCTCGTTTGTTTATTCTAATCCAGTCACTAACCTCAAAACTGGTTCTTCCTTTTCAAGCAGGTGGGGCAAAGCCAGAAGGACACGAGGACGATCACGAGATGGTGAACATGGAGTATGCCTGTGACCATTGTCAGGGCCTCATTGTGGGCAGCCGAATCAACTGTAACGTTTGTGAAGATTTTGATCTGTGCTTTGGTTGTTACAATGCCAAAAAATATCCTGACAGGTGACACATTACACCTGCCTGGTTACATTTGAATTCCTATGTTCTTATGGTGTAGTAATTTCTTTTTCATCCTTAGCCACCTGCCAACGCATAGGATTACAGTTTACCCTATGGTGACCATTCGGATCAGCGACCGCCATCGTCTGATTCAGCCTTACATCCACAATTACTCATGGCTGTTGTTCGCTGCCTTGGCTCTCTACGCCTCTGACCTGAGTAGTGAGAAGCAGTGTGATGGGGAAAGTCTTGACACAAACACTCTCAGTCTGGCCTCACATTTGCAAACCCGCTGCTCTCAACTTATCACAGATTGTCTGCTCAAAGGGCAGGCTGGAAAAGGTAACATAACAGTCACTATTTGACAGTGATACAAAAATAAATGACTGTGTCTCATCAGGTCTGCGTTCATCAGCTCTGCTCGCTCTGTTGCTGTCTAATGAGTCGGGCTCAGACAGTGACACTTGTCTAGTCTCTCCCGAATCTTCTCAGGAGCTCAGTACTGACGCCTCGTCACTTGCCGAAAGCACTGCTGCGATATGTTCTCCAACATCCCCCAAAGACAAGGTAGGTGTTTACAAGGTAAATTGATACAAATGAACAGCTGATGACCTGAAACAAATTCACAGAGTAAAGCAGTGAGAAAAGAGATCAAATCTCAGGAGATTTGCTCAGTTCCAAATGCTTCAGGAGAGGCAGTGACCAATGTTGGTGACGGAGACAAAAGGAAGCTTGATGCTCAGGATACTTTGGATTCCTCGAGCCTCAGCCAGACTCCTTCTGTATCGAGTGAAGATGCTCTCTCTCCGGTCGTTCGACGTGAGTATTTAAACCCAAAACATAGTTTGTGTTAGACTCTTTATATATTTATATAAATATACTGTTGATATATATTCATCTGTTTCCCACTGTTTAGAGTCCGGTCCAGAACCTGCTGTTAGTCTGGAATCAAATTCTCTTAAGATGAAAGAGCAGAGCCTTCCTCCATTTCCCCTACAGGAGCATGTATTTTCTGAGTGCTCCAAAGAGAGAATCCTTGGACTTCTGGCAGCCATGTTGCCACCTGCGTCTCCAGTATGTAGTAGCCAACAAATGTTTCACTGGAAAAGTAAAAAAAAATAGATGTAAATGGTTGTTTTATTTGCACAGGACTGTATGCTTTCCTTGCCAAGTCTGGACACAATCCTTCCACAGCTCTTCAGAGCAGTCATTTCCAACGCTGGCTCTCTAAATGAGACTTTCCACCTCACCCTGGGGCTACTCGGACAGCTCTTACGCCGGATAACCCCAGTCGAGGCCGACGCTGCTGTGACCGAGGCACTGGCTGATAAATATGATCTGTTTGCTCAAGGAGATGCCTGTCCAGACGGCCAAGGATGGAAGACCACCCAACTGCTCTTCAGCCTCGGGGCAGTCTGTTTAGACAGGTACAAACAGCTTTTCTTGCATATGGGAAAATATTGTATGTATTTATAATTTATTTTCAGTGGTTGATTTTCATACTTGTTTTGCAGTCGAATTGGTCTGGACTGGGCGTGCACAGTGGCAGATATCTTGCACAGTTTGAATACTTCACCTGAATGGGGCGCCGTGATTGCGTCCTTCACAGATCATTGCATACAACAGCTGCCAAATTCTTTAAAACGCACCAATCTCTTCACTCTGTTGGTGTTAGTGGGCTTCCCTGAGGTTCGTCAGCGTAATGTGTAGTACGTCGTAAATTGCACAGTTTTTTAAACTTTTTTTTTTTTTCAGGTTCTCTGCGTTGGCACCAAGACAGTATTTATTGACAACGCTAATGAGAAACACAACATGATCTTACTGAAACATTTCACAGAGAAAAACCATGCTGCTGTGGTTGACGTTAAGACGAGGAAGCGAAAAACAGGTTTGTTGATGACAATGCATCACTGAAAAGATTTGATTAATTTCAAAATCAAATTCTTATTTTATTGTTTTTTATAGTTAAAGACTACCAACTAATTCAATCTCATGATTCAACATCTGGTCCTTCACAACAGTCTGAGGCCGCCCAAAATGCCCTTCTCGTTCGCTATTTGACCAATTTTACCTCCATAATCAGCCATTTACTACAGGTGCCCACAGACAATGCCTCTAGTAACGCTGTAGAGGCCTCATGGGTTCTCTCGTTGGCTCTCAAAGGTCTCTACAACACGCTTAAGGTATTATATGTGTTATTATATTATTTATGAAATGTGCACTTTCATTTAATCAATGCAATACTAATAAATTTGAGGTTTGTATTCTGATATAGAAACACAGAGTATCAGAAGCCCAACGAGCCATTCACCAAGCCGGTCTAACGCAGCTGCTGGTCAGAAAGTGCAGCAAGGGAACAGGCTTCAGCAAATTGTGGCTACTGCGCGACCTGGAGATCCTTTCCATCATGTTGTACTCCTCCAAAAAGGAGATCCACTCAATGACGCAGGACCCTGAGCGAGAGCAAAAAGAGCAGGACAAGGAGCACGACTCGGACCATTCCAGCTGCTGCACCGACGACGCCGACCCCAACAAGCCGGACCCCCTGGAAGGCCTTGACGAGGAGACGAAAATCTGCTTTCAGGTACAAATTGTTTTTCTAATGTAAAGGAAAATTGATAGTGTAAGAAAGCCTCCTCGATATGTTGATCTGTGGATGTCTCAGATTACCCATGATGCCTTAAATGCCCCTCTGCCCATCCTGAGAGCCATGTATGAATTGCAGATGAAAAGAACCGACTCGTTTTTCCTGGAGGTTCAAAAAAGGTTAGTAACAATCAAAGTGTGTGCGAGAAAGACTTGACACATTTGTAATGGCCCTTTCCTTTCGTTTTCTAATCAAGCAGATTTGACGGAGAGGAGATAAAAACAGATGAGACGATTCGAACTCTTGCTCAGAAGTGGCAGCCGCTCAGACGTCCCAGGTCCGAAGAAAGGAACACTAAGGCAGTGGATACTGACATGATTGTTGTCTCCTGTGTGGTGAGTGTTTTCCGATTCTGAATAAAAACTCATAAAAACAATACATTCTGCTATTTAAATTATTTGTTTTTTGTTTACAGACTTTAGAAAGTCTGTTTAAAAAAAAAAAAAAAAAAAAAAAGACTTTCTTATAACTTGTCATATGTCAGTATGCAATCCCTTAGCCATCCATATATATGTACTGTAGCAGCCAGACCAATAGTCAGCATTTTTTTGTCTGGAAAGATCATTCTCCTCCAGACTTTTACAAACATAATATGAAAGATTATTGGCCAGGTTAAGAATTATAGTTCTTGTAAAATAGCAGACAGAGACTAGTACTCGGACATGAAAAATAGAAATATTCAATCCTGGAGGTGGCAGTCCCACTTCACAATAATGACTGATCATTATTGTCTGTTGAGTGAATGAACAATATACCTAAATGATAAAGATCTTTGCGTTCTGGTCTGTAAAATGGGTTTTATTTAAAAAAGATAACTTTTTTTTGTATGATTTTTAACGTAAACCATGTATGGATCGTTTCTTAGGTTTTATATAGGGCTGTCAAAATTATCCCGTTTACGCACGTTTATTAATTTTGTTCATTAATTGCATGAAAAAAATTAACGCATGATCCGCCCATGTAACCCATATTAACAATCAGAATGCCACGGACCCGTGCGTGTGTGAGATGGCAACAGAGCAGTTCTCTGGGAACTCAAGTTTTAAAAGAAAACGTGCGTTCTGACCTGGGGCAGCTGCGGCCGCTCTGGACAGAAGTTCCCACCCCCAGCGGCTGTCGCTTTGACAACAACACGGTGAACGGCGTCTTAACGTCATGCGCACAGGATTATTCTCTGCTTGTTGTGTGCGTGTCTTTGCGTAACCTGTGCATGCAATAAATACACCTCTGACGCTGGACTACGGAGCCCCAGCCTCCTCCGTGTCTTCTTCCAAAGTGCACTCGCTAAATTAAAGCTGGGGTACCTAATTTTTCCCTTGCACTACCAGTTCATGTTGGTTGTGCCCAAAAAGGAAAATTTTGTGAATCAAACAGATGTAATGGCATTCTGCTTTTCAGACTGTTTTGAAATGTCCCTCATTTGTAACAAACAATAGTTTTGGTCTGATTCACAGAAAGACAGAAGGTTAATAATGTTAATGCCATTTTATGTGGATTTATTGTTGTTATAAAAAAGATACACAGTACATATGTACACTATGTTGTCATTTATCTTTCCATCCAACGACCATTTACAGAAAAATATGGCATCTTTTTGCAGATAATTCGAAACATGATTAATTTGGTTAATTAATGTTTAAGCTGTAATTAACTCAATAAAAAAATTTAATCGTTTAACAGCCCTAGATATTTAGTTTTTGCCCAGGACATGGCAGCAGCATTGACCTTTGTATAGAACTGTCTGTCTGTTGTAAAGTAACAGGCTTTTGAAAACATTTTCAGATTCAGGTTTGATTGTAATTGTTGTTCTCCTCCAGTCCAAGCCCAGTCTGTGTGAAAAGGCCACAGAGGAGGTGAACGTAGTGGCCCAGAAGCTCATCACGCACTCTGAGAGCGACCTGCAGCTCAACTACGCCAAACAGAGACGCACCAAGAGCTCGGCGCTGCTGCACAAAGAGCTGGATGTGCGCAGCAATCGGGCCGTGCGCCAGTACCTGGTGAAGGTGAACCAGGCCATCGCCACGCTCTACGCCCGCCACGTGCTGGCTTCTCTGCTGGCCGACTGGCCCCTGGAGACCCCCCTGTGTGAGGAGGCCCTGGAGCTGAGCAGTGCCTCTCACATGGCATACATCCTGGACATGCTGATGCAGCTGGAGGAGCGGCCGCTGTGGGAGAAGGTGAGAGCCACTCTGCAACTTAAAGGACACTTTTCTTGGAGAGTTGAACCATATTTTACCAGTGTTTCATCTACTACATTAGCAATACTAATATCAGGAACCTCTGGCACAAACGTATGCCTCTTCTATCTAAAAGTATTGCCCATGAATTAGTTTTGGCGATTTCTCATTACGATGTGTTTGCAGCCGATAAAAATGCACTTTTTTTTATTATTTAAAAACAGCTGCACTTGTTTAGCCTGGATTTTTACAGTTTGACATTAAAAGTTTTACATTGGAAACAAATTGCATGTGGAGAGGGGAGCCTTCTCTGAAAAAAAAGAAACAGTTTTTTAAGCACCAAAATCATTATTGTGAAATGTACATGTTATAAACCAGACTGAGCGACAAACGGGTCACCACTGGGACAGTTGAGAAAGGCTCTGTTATTTACATTTCTTTTGCTTGTGATTTTGTCAGATTCTTCAGAGGGTGCTGACGGGCTGCAGCCAGAACATGCTGGGTAGTTTATCTCTGACCGCCTGCCAGTTTATGGAGGAACCTGGAATGGCAATGCAGATCAGAGAATCAAAGCATCCATATGACAACAACACCAACTTTGAGGTTTGTGGGAACATATATATATATATATATATATATATATAATTTTTTTTATTGCTAATTTAAGATCTTTCTTAGTTGATACAGACAGTATACAGAACAGGGAGTGGCCGATAAATACCAAATTTCTTCTATAGAGAAGAATGATAATCAAGATCACCAATAATTTCCATTTTTAGTCTAAAATCGGGTCTTTTTACAAGGTGTATATTACTCACTTACTCCAACAGGGATTAAAACTGTGATGGAAACACTATATAAAGCTTCAAACTAATGTTATTATGCCTGTATTTTCAATCAATCAGGACAAAGTGCACATCCCTGGAGCAATTTACCTGTCCATAAAGTTCGACTCGCGCTGCTTTACTGAAGAAGGCTGCGATGAGCTGATCATGTCCAGCAGCAGTGACTTTTTGCAGGATGTTCATAATTTCAGCGGCTCTCCTCAGAAATGGTCTGACTTTGATATTCCTGGTAAAAGCAAAAAACAAACGCATTTTTATCTCTCAGATCAGCCAGGTTTTATATTATGTTATTATTTTTGTTCCCTTCAGGTGACACCCTCTACTATAGGTTTATGTCCGACATGAGTAACACAGAATGGGGTTACAAATTCACCATCACTGGAGGTCACAGAGGACGCTTTCAAACGGGTATAAACAAATCAGTTAAATTTTTTTGTCATGTTATTCAGCCGCGCTCTTTTAATTAAACGTTTTTTGTGTGTTTTTTTCAGGTTTTGAGATTTTGAAGCAAATGTTAGCCGAGGACCAGGTACTAAATCTCTTGCCACTCAATGACATCTGGGAGTGGCAGGTGGGTGTGGCGTGTCGGCAAACCGGAAACCCTCGCCTCAAAGCAATTCACCTGCTGCTGCGTCTCCTGCAGTGTCGATCTCAGACGTAAGCATCAGTTACTTTACCTCCTTAAAGAAGCTATACCCGATTTTTTTTCTAAGTAGTTCATAAAAATGCTTTTTACTACATACAAGTTGTATCATAATACATCATTTAATAAAAACTTGAGGTAATTGATTCAGCTGTGTAAGAATTACAAGCAGTGAAAAGTGCTGAGTAGAGTCTGAGCGGGCCGCTCTTTCTCCTCCGCTCACAGAACGAGCAGCGAACAGCCTGCGTCCTCTAGCCTCTACAGCGCTGCTTAACACCAGGGCTTCGACTTCAACATTCGAATATAATTCTAAAATAAAAAATGAACAAAATAATTGAATAAAAAAATGTGAACAAATATTAGACAACCCTTGTAATTCGAAATGTATTTAATGACTGCAAATAAAATAGTTAGCTCCCAAAAGGTTTCACCGGGACGTGCTAGGCAGGTAACAGCTAAGCTAGCTAGCTGTTTCATGGTAACTTCCGGGTTTTTCGCAATCGCTTTTTGTCACTTTAAAACAGTATTTTTGTTATGAAAACGTTGACAGCAAATTCTGAAATCATCCGTGCATGTGTGTTAAGGATGTATATGTGTACTGTATTGTCCGATTGACGTTTAATGGTGCTGATTGATAGATATGTAGTTGTTTATTGAGCGTGGCTAGCTCCGCTAGCTCCTCTACACAGACAAGTGTGTAGTGACAGGCGCTGATAGCTTGTTCTTGCAAAGTAATGGCAGTATTTTACACACCTGAATTACAAACAGAGGTTGCATTGGGGCTGCGGTCATTATTGGTTTGAGAGTTCTGTTATCAAGAAAAAATGATCGGAAGAATGGCTGCTGCTGCTTTGAGGAGCTCTATAACAAATTATAATTAAATATTAGAATATATTCTAAGGTTTTAAATTGATACATTCGGACGCAAAACTAGCGGTATTCTTTTACTTATATATTGTGTTAGCAGTGCGTTGCTTTAGTGCCATTTCATCAGTGATTGTTGCACAGCTTACAAGAAGTTGCGCTAATGCTAATGTTAGCATATGTATCAGATCGCAAATAAAACTAGGTGGCTCCGTGTTATGAGAGCGTAGGGGAAATGAGAAGCCATTGAGCGAGTTGGGGGGCGGTGCTAAACATTCAAACATTGCAGAAACGGGTATAGCGCCTTTAATGCTGATGCACAACACGTAGTATCAGGAAAGCGTGTGTAGACTCACTGTTTTTATAGAAACAAAGTCACTTGGTTTCCTTTTATCTGGGCTTAAAGGGTACAAAAGTATGACAGGAAGGCCAAACATTTGATTTTGATAATCAGAAGATATTTTAATGGGTTTTGTTTATCCAAATACCTCCTCTGTCCATTAACAGTTGCTAGGAGATGACTGATTAGTATATTAGTCATGTTTCCTTGCGGCCCTGTTTGTTTGTGTAATGGACGTGATCCTTTGACGGAATGAGCTGTGGAAGATTGTTACATATTTTCAGATGATTAATAGATTTAGTTTTTTTTAACAAAAAGTAAAAACAGTAATTACTTTCATATTATAAACCAAATAAACGTGATACCAGACGATCATTTTTCTTAAGTTTAATTTTTAGTAAAAATTGGAGGAAATCATCACATCTATGGGTCATTTAAATTTGTATTGATTATTTTTCAAAAATGATTCCTTTTTAAATCAAGTCATTTCCTGATGTTTTGTTAATTTGTGGGAGTTCTGCCGCTTTGTCACACAAGACCTTTTATTTTCTATGTCACTGGCGTCACAGTAGAATTATCAAATCAGAGTCTGATCTGTTTTTTTTAAATTGCGCCAAAAATGTATTTGTCAATCTTTTGTTTTGATTTCATCCACAAAATCTCTTTGTTTTGTCTGTGTTTGAAATATTTTTCCTAATCTATGATAGTTATTTTGGTTTTTGACTTTTAACCTCTTAAAGACCATATAGTATAATTGACACTTTACTGTGAACACACCCATCTCTCTTTAGAACGTGTGATCTCACGTTGCTGAGACCTCTATGGCAACTGTTCATGTCGATGGAGAACAGCGTGAGTCAGGATCCCACGTCTGTCACGGTGCTGCTGCCTCTTCATCGCGCTCTCACTGAGCTCTTCTTCGTTGCAGAAGCACAAGCCACAGTAAGTAACACTCGTCATCACTATAAAGACAAACATTCGTATTATTCACGGCAGCAGGGAGGAAATATTCTATCCATCTGGTATTGTAGAAGGGAATGTTCAAGATTATGAATGTACACTGCTACAGTTTGATTTTGAAAAGTAGAGTTTCAAAAAATAAAGGGAAGAAATGTGGGTGAGAGTTCCCAAATGATTCACAAGAGGTCATTGTGAATCCAATAACCAATAACATGGTTATTGTTCCCATGATAAAGGGCCCTGGCTCAGAGGGTCTGCTTCATCCATATCTGTGCCTGAAGATTTGTGAAAAATTTAGGAAATATTTATATATGTATTTGAAAATTGAAACCTAAATTATAACCTATAAATTATTGACGATGCTGACCATACAGGATAGTTCTAAATAGTGACATCCTTACTCTGGCCCTCATGACTCATCAGTCATGAGGGCCATGGTCACTTTACACACAGAGCTTCCAGACCCTTCCTTCCCTGTGTGCCCCCTCACATTCATGTACCCCAGGCGTGTCAAACTCATTTTGGTCGGGCCACATTGAAAAACGTTGATTGGAGGCTACAATTCATTATTTTTTTCTTTTAGTGTGTTCTTCCAAGGTCTTTTCTTTTGCATCCGTTTTTTTATTTCTTCATTACATTTTGTAGGGTTTTTTTTAGATCAAAGGATGGTGCTGCTCCTGACAGAGTGGGATGGAACAATGGGTCTGAGTGCATCATCGCTGTAGTTCTCTCCATAGAGGCGCTCGCCTCCCCGTTCAGCGTCACTCCTTTTGTAGTGGCTTTCTCAAACCAGTAGGGAGCAGTAGCATCATATCTTCCATTATTGAATGGCTCCTGTATTCTTCATGTCCAACTTTCTGGCAGCAGCACAGTTATGACAAAGCATTTTAGACCTTGTGTGTGACTAAAGTGTAGTAAAGAGGATGTTCCGGTGTGCTGTTGTATGAACACAAAGGCTCCAATAATAATAATGCATTGGTTTTATATTGAGCTTTTTTGGACACTCAAAGACGCTTCACATGTTTCATTATTCTTTCACTCCATACACAGTGGTGATAAACTACTACTGTAGCCACAGCTGCCCTGGGGCACACTGACAGACGCGAGGCAACCAGTATGTGCCATCGGCCCCTCCGATCACCACCAACCATTCTCACACACACCAGACTCATTCTCGGCAATGTGGGTGAAGTGTCTGGCCTAAGGACACAACAGCAGTTTGGCACTTTACAGCCGCAGCTGCCCCACTGTGGCATCAGGTGTTCCCAGAGGCTAAGACAGTGGGAGTCAATGATGAGGCTCTACCAACTGAGCTACTGTGGAACAACATGTGACTTCTAGAATCTGTTTCCAGCACTATGTTGACAGTCACAGCTCTTTAACCTCGATGTGGGCTTATCTGCCTTTCCTATTTGCATTGGCTCATTATTCGCTGGCATACATTGAGTTGTGACATTGTCTGTCATAACATTGAATAAACAAACCTTTTTACTTTTATTTTTTCTTCCAGGTGCAGGGTGTTCTGCAAGAGTACTTATTGGCAATGACAACAGATGAACAGCTCCAAAACCACACAGCCTTGGTGAGTCACCGTTAGTGCTGCAGTTATCGATTCTTTCAGTTATCAAGTCACCTTCGATTACTCAAACAATGTATACGTTTTACATCCTTAAATGTATATTATTATCATTATTTGGACATAGTCATGAGTTAAACAAATGTGAAGTTTTTACTTTTCAATCTTAATTACAAAAGTGGAGCCCAAATGAAAATGAATTATATCAACAAATATAAGGCAAAATCATCTTTAAAAACTTGACTTTAACAGCATTGACTTGCTTACTCTCATTGTGATGAAATACCAGCTATGCAAATTTACAATGTTATAAATACTCAGCATGGGTTCCTCCAAATTGAACGTTATTGATGCTCACAAAGCAGGAGAATGAAGAATCTATGATTCCCCTTTGCTCTGCTTTTTCTTCATTACAAACATTGTACCACATTATATGACATTGCATTTTTAAACTTATAATGGGAACAGTGGAGAACACCAACACAGGTCATGGAAGTGTCATCTGAATAGAACATCTAAAAATCAATGTTTTAGATTAGTATTTGTGTAGGATTATTATAATGTTTTTGTTTTTTCTCAAACATGCAGCAGTGTCTGTCACTGTGTAATGGAAAACATTTAGTCTTCCCTTGTTTCACAATATCAATTTTGATTGCTGGTGCCTTTCACTGTGTTCTAACCCTCTTATAAGTTTTATGTCTCAAAAATAATCTGTAACATAAAAAACATATACAGCATCTGGTTAAAAAGCTTATTATCGCACTTTTCAGCTTTGATTTTATTGCTTAACTTTTTTTAAATGAGACTAGATTTGCTTTGAGTCAGCAGCTGTTTCAGCCAGCTTTTCTCTGACCCTGCTCTGCTGAGCACATGTACATCGTACATGCGTTTGGCGATTCGAGACCATGAGTTTGTTGTGTGGTTGTGAGGACATTGCTCTGAGCGCCGGTGTTACCGGAGACATTTAGCCCGATATGGTGGAGGCGCCCACCGCACAGGGGGCAGGTGTGAGTGCGTGATTTTGTTACAATGTTATTTAGTTTCTGTTGGGTTGAGATCAACAATACAGCTTCTGATTTATTTTAATGTGAATGAAAAATGAAAAAAAAATATCTTTGCAAATGAGAATAAGAATATTGTTTTTAGCTTTATTAGGTTTTAGATTAAATAGAAATGTAAAAATAAAACCATAAAATCCTGGTTTTGTTGTTGGAGAAATAGTTTTATCTGTGATTCTGTGCCTCATTTGGATCTCTTTGTGCTCTAAACTGTATTTGACTTTTGTCATTCCAGTCTTTTTATGTTTCATTTAATGGTAATCTAATCTGTATCCTGGTGCCTTTTTATGATCCAGGCTCTGAAGAATATTGCTGCCATCAGCTTGGCGATGAATTACTCTAACAAATCGACCAAGTTAATCAACATGTCATCGTGAAGAGGACACCTCCGACGCACGTCCCCAGGAAAGGCCCCATACTGATGTGGAGTGAAACACTAAAGAGGAAGTGTGACCTCTTTAACGTTATGAACAGCCCCCTTCTCAACAACTAACTCTATATCAGGACAAAGGCTTCTGAGGGGAGCCTCTGCACCGTCACAAAGTCTCTCCTTCAAATAAATCCAATTTATCAGCATGTTTATTCTCTGTAACAGGAATTGAAGGATTATTCCACAGAACAGCAAGTGTGCCATTCCAATAAGTGCACATGGAAAGTCCAGGTATTTCTTTGGTTTATGGCCTTGTTTTCATGTCACACAGATTACACGGAGGACTGCGGTCACCTTGGCCACTTGAATGTCTCGACGGACATGCAGAGCATCCTAAAAATACTGTCCAGGACAGTGGAGCTTCATTAGTCACCGTGGGGAGTGTGCTGACCTACTAGCTTGTTCAATCACTTCCAGAGCTGTCTTCTCTGGTACCAATGTGCTTTTTGGGACACTTTGAAAGTACAGTATACATATATCTCTGCTTCTCAGATGTGTGTACAAGTTAATCATGAAGAAACTGACCTGCATTTGCACTGAATGGCCCTTATCAGAAACAATAGCCATAGTTTTTACATACAACAGACGATGTATTACAACAGGGGAAAACTGTGATTCTACATTTTTTCACTTGATTCATGAACAAATGAATTAGTTTCACTGCACCTTTTAATACGATTGAAGAAGAACTGACATTAGACTTCATTGATGCGCTCATTGCACAACAACTAGATCCAGAACGTGCCGCAGCTCAAAACCTCCTCATGGAGCGTCTCCATACACAAAGTACAATCACTCAAAACTAATCTATAATCTATTCTTGTCAAGGAAGAAGTATTGAACTAAATTATTTGTATTTTTTGTTTTGTAAAAAAGAAAAAATAGAAGATATAATTTTGTGAAAACCCCAATGCTGCTGCAGCTGAAAGATGTTTTGTTATTTTATATAATGGAAACACATTACTTGCATTCTCATTGATTCTAGTGTGTTCATTAGTTTGTAGTTCGTAGTGTTTTATGCCAAAGAATCCAGTCATTGTGAGCAGCAGCCATGTCACTTCTGAACAACTCTCGTAGAGTCTCTCAACCACATATCAGTGAATCCTCTGCCGGCGGAAAACAACCGTCTTCAGCTAATGTTTTGAATGATTTTTATTTAGTGGAGCTTTTTGGCCTGAATGAAGGGTTCTCATTCTGTTTACAGATCCATCCATGGCTCACTCAGAATTTACAATGTGCCTAAAGTTAAAAATGAAGCAATCATTATTTAACTCATGTTGGTGTAAGGATTATTCTATTTTAATGATGAATATGTTTATTTTGAGGGGTTTCTAACCTTTTACTTTTAATATTTCTTTTCATGAAAATGCATAGTATTTGAGGCTGATTATTTTTGAATGTACATATCTGTGAATATTAATTGCACAGAAAATAAACTTTGTAATCAACCTGTACTACTGTATAATTATTGATCACTATGACACTTATTTTGTATGCATGGCAAATGTAAGTGTTGCTTGGGTTAAATGGTGATCTGTTTCTAATAAAAATAGAAATTTAATTTTTGTGTGACTCTTCAATGCGATTTTTTTGATGCATTATTTACACTTAACCCCACTTTGCCCAAAGCCCCCACTGAAAGATCAAGGCTATGCTCACACTCAGAGAGCAGCCGTCCTCCTGTGGACTCACCACCTGCAGAGGGTCAGTGAGGGGCTGGTGCTATGAGACTTGGGTGGCATCTCTGATTGCCACCCCCCTGACCCAGAAATGGATTAAAGGGTAGAAGATGGATGGATGGATATTTACTTCCATCTTCTTAAACCCACGGCCCTTTCCCAGTGGCTCCAGAACATATTTTTTATTATGATGATTAACTTGCAGAATGGGTGGTGATATTTGAATCTAGCTGCTATGGCATGTTTTAACTCATTTTGAAATAAAATAATATCAAGAAAACAATGGGATTTAATAAGTTATATAAAGTTATTAAATATTACTTTCTGTGTGGAGTTTGCATGTTCTCCCTGTATCTCCGTAGGTTTCCTCCTGGTGCTCCAGTTTCCCCTGCCACAGAAATAATATACAATAGGTCAGGCTGAATGTGTGTTTGTGAATCTGACAATAGATAGATGGATACTTAATTGATCCCTGTAGGAGACATTCAGGTGTCCAGTAGCAGCAAAAATAAAATTGATCATTCTAAAAAGTTATAAATATCAATAGGACAGCGGATGGAAATTGGCCCAAGACTAGTTTTTTTTCATAAGTACACACTGTCCAAACCAAATGAATAAATTCAAGATAAAAAGGTTTAAACCAAAAACATGGTTACTGTCCCTTCAAGACCAAAACTGCAGCTGGAACATCTAAATCCCCCGATGTACAAAAGGTCTGGAACATTGCAGTCCTCGAGCGCTGCTGCTGCAATAGTCACGGACACACACTGTACTGTATTCATGATGAGGGAGTGTTCCGGATGAATGATATTTGTTTGGAAATGATATGTTGGCATTATATTGGGGAACTTTTATACATGAGAAAATGTACCTCCATCAGATAAGTTACACACCATTTTGATTTTGAGAATTTAAATGTTCCAAATAGATACTAAAATACGAATAAACTAGATCATTGTTCTAATATATATATATATATATATATATATATATATATACTTAATTTTGGATTTTTTTGTCTTTAGAGTTTGATTGGTCAAAATGTCATAATTAAAAAACATAACAAGCCAACAATTATTATTATGCAAAGGAAAAGATTACTTAAAAAAGGACAAAAATATTGAAAAAAGGTGAATGAATAATAAAATAAAGACTTTTTAAAAAAAACATTAATACCAATAATAAACTGAAGCATACGTATACACACACACACATGCATACATCAGCTCTGATCTAATTGTTTTGTCAAATCAGGACTGAAACAGGTGATCCAGCTCTGTTTTGATTCTCTAGTCCAGGCAGTCAGACCGACAGACACTCTGTATTGTACATACATATATATATACAGTATATATATATATATACAGTATATATATATATATATATATATATATATAAGAACATGAAAAGCTTGAGAAATACCAAGGTCTCAGAGAGGAGCTGGAGAGGGCCTGGAGGGTAAAGGTGACAGTAGTGCCCGTGGTGATCGGTGACCCCGAAGCTAGATGAGTGGTTACAGCGGATCCCTGGAACAACCTCGGACATCTCGGTCCAGAAATGTGCAGTGCTAGGAACAGCAAAGATACTGCGCAGAACCCTCAAGCTCCCAGGCCTCTGGGAGAGGACCCGAGCTTAGAGAAGGATAACCGCCCGTGGAGGGCCAAAGGTGAGTGGACAATTTTATATATATATATATATATATATATAATATGATCATCTGCACACGCACACACGCACCTACACACCTGTCCTGTTCACCTTTGCTTTTGCCTTTTCCCACATCCTGCCGGTGTAAGACTCGTTACAGAGCACCCTGCCATAATGAGGCCTACTTCCAGACCCTCAGGGAGTGAGGATTAGTGTGGTCAGATCTCCGGAGGCCTGGCATAATTGGGTAGATTAAATAATCCAGTGAGACTATAAAGTGCACTAACTCCCAGGACTCATATTTGGCAGTTCTGTGGTTCTATTGTGAGGGTGCACAGGGAGAGGAGCGATGCTTGGATCTCACGCTTATGTTTTCTGGAACATCCATGTGGCTCTGGTTAAAACTACTGTTAACTTTTATTTTATATATGGGATCAACAAGTGCACAGCATCAGATTATGTAAGTAAGAAAACGCCACCTGCGTATGAAAGCCTGATCTCAGAAGACCTCAGAAGCAAAGCAGCACAGGGCCTGGTTAGTACTGTGATGGGAGAACACCAAGTGCCACAGTGGGGCGACTGCGGCTGTGAAGTGCCAAACTGTCATCGTGTCCTTAGGCAAGACACGTTATATAGTATGAGTCTGGTGTGTGTGAATGATTGGTGGTGGTCAGAGGGTCCAACAGCGCGTACCGGTTGCCTCAATTCTGTCAAGCGTTTTAAAAGTCCTATAAAAAACGATGCATAGTTATTAGTAGACTATCATAACAGAAGAGGCAGAGAGCGTTTGCAGTCGTGATAAAAATCGATGCAATAATTATGACAAGAGAAAACACACTCAGAGAACACATGTAAAATATACTGTAATACTGTTTAACCCTATAATCATACTTATAATATATGTATTGACTCAACATGTATTCATCCAAGATCATGTGTTTAATTCTAAATCTTTTGGGGAGCTACCTGAAAGGGGCTCGCGAGGCACTGGTAGCTCCTGAGCCACAGGTTTGGAGACCCCCTACTTGTCTCCGGTTTGTTTAATGTTACTATGAAAAACAGAGCGACCTCCTGCACTACAGTATACACCAGTTCTCATTCAATAGACCCCATGCTTTCATCATTCTAAAGCCCAGGTAACAATGTTCTGGAGTCATTCAGTTACACCTGTGTCCTCCTAATCTGCCCATGTAGTGTGTGGTGTACTTGTCAGCTTCTGGAGTCTGTCCCCTGAAAGACGAGACTTCATTTTTCTCATTCCAGAGCTCACATGTCCTCGCAAACAACTGCAGACAATAGTGCCATCACAGGGATTAAAAGCTTGTAAATATTTCATCTCTATACAAGCCATCAACTCTAATTCATCAACCTGATACCCCTTTGTCCTTCTTTCTGGCAATTTCTCAAATGTTTAATTCTTTATCCACTTAAAGCTGGGGTACGTAACAATCAAAGCGTAAAAGGACTGTGTGATCAAATGCTCCTCGGTCTCAAAACGGTTTCCTTCAATCACCAGTTTTGTATGTATTTTTGGACTATGTCACGTCTTTAGATCAGCTTTTTCAGACAGAAAAGTGGGAAAGAGAGGGACCACCCTGTCGGCAGAAGCTGAGGGCTGGCA